AGAAGAATAACACCTGAGTCCTCAGGAATAGCAACTTTATATCATGGTACTGCTCGTGTCTATAGGCGACGGTTACCACTTTCCATCAGGTAGGCCATCAGCTTGTTTGCTATTCTAAGTAGTACATAAAAAAAAGTATTAAATACCTACTATTTCTTATTATTAAGTACTAGCAGTATTCCGCGACTTGACTCGCGTGAATCACTATAAAAAAGTATTTTACGAGTACATGCTTTTTATAGCATGTTATATCTAATTTTTAGATTGATATAACTTTTTAATTTATAACTTTTTAAATAACAAACGCCTAAATATTAAGAGAAGAAAACCAAAATGCATTAGTGAAAACTGCATTCAAATCGATTAAGCCTTTTCTGGGATTAGCGTACACAAACGTACAGACAACCAGACATAAATTCTAAAAATCATTATTTTGGGTTCTATTACGTTCATAATGACCCCATATAATAGTTCTTCTTTAATATTTTCCATGTACAGACAGCGACCACTTACGATTTTATTATATGTATTGATTGTTTATTATTTTTTTATTTTTATTTATTTATTTATTTAACACTTTTGCACCAACATAACAGGATTTGTTGAACAATTTCCAATAAATATAGTGTAGTACAAAAGGCGGTCTTATTGCTAAGCAATCTCCTCCAGACAACCTTTGGGAAGAAAGAATTAAAGAATAAACAGGTAGAGTGCATTATTTGTATTAAGTAGCCGTGTAGGTCCCGGCATAGAACAGGCTACTCCTTCCTTTCCCATGGGTCTCGTAAGAGTCGACTAAGAGAGCTTGTAGAGGGATGGGCAGCAGCGTCCCCCTTAAAACACCACCAAAAGCCAAACTGCAGTTGCGAACTCGCCTGTCAAGTATGGCAACTACTAGCAAAACCCTTCCAGGGGGTGGCTATGGTCAGCAGTGGACAGTTAACGGCTTTAACAACATAACCAACTGTCAAGACATGGTATGAGGCACAACCATGCTCTATTATGCACATAGTGCTGGTCCTGTCTATAGGCGACGGTTACCACTCTCTATCAGGTGGGCCATCAGCTTGTTTGCCATTCTAAGTTGCATAACTTTTAAAAATTAATTTGGTATACACAAATTTACTTAGAATAGGATAGGAGAAGAACATAAGCTACTTTTTATCTCGTTCAATCGACATCTCGATTACGCGGCGAAGCTTCAAGAAAGAACTAGTTTGATATATAAATACCTAGAATCGTTTAAATTCAAACTTATTGTACGTTTACCTAGTAACGTTTACCTACATACAGTAGAGTACCTACTACATTAATTCAATTACGTCAATATATTCTATATTACAAATTGAATAACAATAAAATACAAATATGAAATGTAAAGTTGCCTTGCATCTTGTGTCTGTATATATTATATTTCTAGAATTATGACCAGAAAAAAAAATCATGCGCTGTGATAATTCTCAAAGGATCTTTTTTTTTAAATGGATGATAATGGAATGGTAACCCCACCCGCGCTATCAGTATACACCGGCGGGGCAACAGTGAAGAATGATAGGTGAGGATGAAGTAGGTCAGTTAGCCCACCGTGACGAATTCAACAAGAATTGTTCACGATGGTTTCCAGGGGGAACCACGTGGAGGTCGACCTAATAAGGTATATTGCTAGCTATGGGGCTGTCAAACTCCATTGCTAACAATCCTTTTCCCCCTAATTCTCAAAGGATCGTAATCGTAAAGCAACTATAGAAGTTTATGTTTTGTTCCTTTTTAAATAGTTTTGCTCCCCTACGATGCAAGTCATTCAAGTATAATTATAAAAAAAAAATCATATGATATTTTATGCTATAAAACTAAAGCCTTCGTTACGATGATTTTTTTTAAAGGATGATTAATAATAATCAACATATCTATTACTTATTATTACTTTTAAGGTTATATTATTAAAATAGTCTTTTGTGCTAGATAAAGAATATGTTCTTTCAACAAACAGATGGACAGATGAAGAATTTACCATAATAATAAAATTTGTTCACAAAACCCTGAAAAAGTGAGAGAGAGATAGATGAGTATGCTTATCGAGAATATCAAACTACTTCAAAAATTATAAATACTTTCATAAATCAAAGAAAAATATTTAAAATCAGGTTATAAAATGTCAAACGGAAAACTGCAAATGGAACTTAATGGTTTGTTTATTAGCTATTTACTTTGAGAGTAACTTGATTTTGGTTTACACTTTGTCCTAATCTTAGATCTTAGATTATAGTACGTCATACATACTAGTATAGTATTTTATAATCTGTGGTCATACTAAGTCTTTGGTCCTAATATACTCTGGTTTTGCATGAGTCAATTAATATTTAATGTAACTTAGATAATTTTGAGTCATACATACGTTTCTTTTTTTAAAAACTTTGATATTTAAAACATTAATACGATTAGGTCCCGAGCCACCTGCATCCACTAACTCTCTGCAATGCATTTGAGGTCGTCACTCCATCTAGTGGGGGGGTCGTCCAACACAGCAAAAAATATATATCTGGAGATCCAAACCCATCCAGGATTGGTGCTTCAAGGTCCACCGCTTCCCAAACGACTAAGCCTATGAGATATTACTTTTGAATTTTTTAAACAGTATTATTTTTGATAGTTTGATAGGTACCTACTAAATTTTTTACACATATCTTTGATTGACTAAACATAGTACTTGATAAGACAAAAAATCTTTTAGTAAGTTGTTATTAGTTATTGTTATTACAAATCAGGTGTTCCGTATAAAAAATTATTAAGTACAGTACAGTATTTTGTACAAAGTCTACCAGACTTGTACTTTGTACAAAATTCGATTGCTTGGGTACCTCTGTCCCATTCGTGTTTCTACCGTGAAGCAGTTGTGTTTGCATGGCTGTGTTCCGGTTTGAAGGGTGGGATATGGCGTGAATTTACTGGGTACAGAGGAATAACACCTGAGTCCTCAGAAATGGCAACGCATGGGGGGTATCATGGGCGAAACAATATACTCTGTTATGTCCATGGTACTGCTCATGTCTATAGGCGTCTGTTACCACTTTCCATCAGGTGGGCCGTCAGCTTCTTTGCCAATATAAGTTGTATAAAAAAAAATTTGTCTACAATGAAGGTTCGTCGTGCATTGTACAGGCATCAAAGTTCGTGTCCTATTAAAATTATGTAAAATAATACTTTCCACAAATTTATAATCTTTCTTATATTTACTGCTTATATTATATATATTATCGAATTAGCAATGAGGAGGTCCTGCTTAGGGTTAAGGAAAAACGACAAATTATTAAAACTATTGAGGACAGAAGGGAAAAAATGTTAGGACACTTGATACGACACGACGAACTTATGAACATTATAATAGAAGGTAAGATAGAAGGAAGAAGGGGGAGAGGGAGACCGAGACATAGTTACATCAGGCAGTTCAAGGAAGGAGTTGGTGTCGTGTCGTATCAAGAGGTGAAGAGACTCGCTGAAAATCGTAATGAGTGGCAAGAGCTCCACCGACAAGAGCGCAGCTCTTAAATGGATAGATAGATAGATTATATACTCGTATATTGTATATACCAATCGTAGTTTATAAGAACAAGAAGGGATGGTTAGTAATAGGAATTAGCAATCCCATTGCTAGCAATCAGGTCGACCTCCACGCTATTCCCCCTGGAAACCATCGTGCCTGACTTATTGTTTAATTCATCACGATGGGTCACCTAACCTGCTTCAACATCATCTATCATCCCTCACTGGTGCCCCTGTTAATGTATACCGATAGCGCAAGCGGGGTAACCATTCCATTATCGTCTATTAAAAATAAATTGTTGTTTTTGTTATCAGTTACTAGTAATTACATTGTATATGTATAGATGTGTCCACCTTTCACCATCGCACCGCTCGTCATCCATCCATCCGGGAATCCACCCTTATACCTTTGAACCAGGGTGATCACGCACAGTGAGGTTTTAAAGGAGCTTCCTCCCGTAAACACCAAGTTTTGGAATGATATTCCTGCTGAGACTTTCCCTGGAGACTACAGCATGGAGTTCTTCAAAAAGGTTGTTTCTCAAGGGAAGACAACGCGCGCATGACGTCCCTGGTGTTACATGCGTTCATAGGCTACGGTAACCCCGTTTACCATCAGACGAGCCGTATGCTTGTTTGCCACTGTAGTTGCATAAAGAAAAAAGTTACATCATTCTATAATTAATAACAATTCAACAGCTCTGTGAGTTTTTTAGTCTTTTTTTTTCATAAATTTAATTAAAATGTTATTTTTATTTTTTAATTATTAAAGTCATGATAACGGAACCTTAGGAATAGCAACGCATGGGGGTATCATGGACGAAACAGTATACTCTGTTATGTCCATGGTACTGCTCATGTCTATAGGCGACGGTTGCCACTTTCCATCAGGTGGGCCGTCAGCTTGATTGCCATTCTAAGTTGTATAAAAAAAAAAACGGAAAATCACGACTTTTAAATTCGGGCTAAATTAACAATACTATTTCATTCTTGGAAAATACATAAACTTAGTTATTTGAGCTTTATGAAGGAAGTTACTTATGACATTATATAACTTTTACTTCTTATTATTATCTATTCCGATATGCCTACTTAATTAATTAATTAAATGTCTTATTGAGAAATTATTGAGAAAACCAATTCAAAATTCTCCTTTTTTATGTAAGCATCAAAGTTTTTTATAGTTCCACTAAGTACCAACAATCCCTAATACTCGCATTAACATATTTTAAACCAAGTTTCAGACTTTCCTTAAGTAATAAATGTTGCTTCTTTTCTTAGAAATATCAGAGCCATTAGATAATTTACATGTGCACTTAAAATAAAAACCAACCCAGCGGGACTTCCCAATAATAATGAAACACTATGCATGAGCATATTAATTTAGCATATACTGTCTAATCGAAATGCTAATAACAAAAATTGAAGCAAAAACAACTGCGAGCGCTGCAAAAACTGAAGAGGCTATCAAAGTATAGGCACGGACACCTAGTCATGACATAAGCTGAGGTGTATAAAAGCTTGAGTCTGGCAGCTGAACAGCACAGTCCAAGATGGCGCGGCTTGTTGTGGCCGCGTTGGCCTTTGGCCTAATTTGCATTCATGCAGCACCAGGTATAATAATATTTTTGGATTTTATTACATTTATTTATTATTATTTTCTTTTCTAAAGTATTAAGATACTTCAGAAAAGAAAGCAATGCAAACGCTAAACATCCAGACCCGAGGATCTGTATGTTTAGCGTTGCCTCGCCAGGTGCCCGTTGTTCGGTTCCTCATTCCACAAGGTGTGTCAGTTTGAGAACCATAATCATGTACAATTTATTATTACATTTTTTTTTATACCACTGAAGTGGCAAACTAGCATATGGCCCACCTGATGGTAAGTGGTTACCGTAGCCTATAAACGCTTGCAGTACCAGGGGCATTATGCGCACGTTGCCGACCCTGAATAAATCACCGTATGTTCCGGCATAGTACTTGCTACCCCTCACGTTCCCGTGGGTATCGTGAGAAGCTACTAAGGGAAGTTAATAGTCAAGGATCATCCCTTGATGGCCCTCTACCAAAGATCGAGAATTTGCTGCCCATGCAGCGGCGTCCCTCTTAAAAGCCTTATTGCGGTTGCCAACCCGCCTGCTAAGCGTGGCAACTACTGGCAAAACTCTCCTAATGAGGAAGACTTACATTCATCAATGGACAATTAAGGGCGTTTGTATCATAAATTTGTTATTAATTTTCATATTATTTACAAATGTGTCGTATATTGTACAAGAAGTTCCGATATAGTTTATAAACATTAGCAAATATATAGCAAAATAAATGTTAATAAAATTATTATATATTACAGAACATAACCGCGTCCGGCGAGGATACGGAGGCGGTGGCCTCAGTGGAGGTGGCGGCGGTGGAGGCGGCGGAGGATTCGGCGGAGGCGGTGGTGGCGGATTCGGAGGTGGTGGCGGATTTGGCGGCGGAGGCGGAAAAGGAGGTGGCCTCGGAGGCGGCTTAGGCGGCGGAAATGGAGGTGGTGGAGGTCTTGGCGGCGGACATGGCGGTGGTCTCGGCGGCGGTAATGGAGGCGGTGGCGGCCTTGGCGGAGGCCTCGGCGGCGGTAACGGAGGCGGTGGCGGCCTCGGCGGCGGACATGGCGGCGGTCTTGGCGGTGGTCTCGGCGGTGGAAAAGGCGGCGGCGGCGGACTCGGTGGCGGAAGTGGACTCGGTGGCGGAAGTGGTCTTGGTGGCGGACACGGCGGCGGCGGTGGTCTGGGTGGCGGCGGCAGTCTGGGTGGCGGCGGCGGCGGCGGACTCGGTGGTGGCGGCAGTGGCGGACATGGCGGACATGGCGGCGGCGGACTGGGTGGTGGCGGACTGGGAGGCGGTGGATCTGGCGGATATGGCGGATCAAGTGCGAAAGCTAGTGCTAGTGCTAGCGCTAGTGCGAAATCTGGTGCTGGTGGATACGGCTACCACGGTTAAATCTGTTGGTGAGTTCTAGAAACAGTAATGTATTTTGATTTAATTGTTTACACTAAATTCTTTTTAAGTTATATTTTAATATTTGAATGTTTCTTGTTTCAGAAGTGAATCATCGCATAGGATTGAATACCAGTGATACACAGTAGGAAATTCCAAAAGCTCAGTGTGATAATTTATAGTGATACGTTTCGCCATAATATTTGTACATAAAATATATATAAATAGTTATATATGTAACAATAATATAGCATATTTTGTTTTAAAGTTTACGCATTTTATTCTATTCCCGAATTGAATGAATGAATTCTGCGGCTCTGGCCGCATAAATTAGGACAGTCGCACTATCTTATGTTTAAAAATTTTAATATGTTGACTAATAAACATCCAAACATACTTTCTTATTTTTATTATTAATAAAGAATGTACATACGTGGTAACATGTATGATATTAACTGCCGCTCTGAGAAATGTTAATTAAATTAATACTAATGAGATATTAGTTAATTATAACTAATTAAAATTGTAAACTGACTTTTTAACGAAATTAGTAAAAGACTTTAACGACCTCTAATGATTCATAAACTGACTCCGAGAGGGACTTTTTTTAAATCTGTACTAAGAAGTTACTTAGGTAATCATTAACGACTGAGTGCGACAGTAAATGCAGAATAATCTAGTATATTACAAGATATTAAACATGGGCATAATGAAAAATATTACTATTCGAAAATGCTAAAGTTTACTTGGACAAAAATATTACATCCTTTATTTCTTTTTTTCAATCATAGATTAATATCAATTTATTTATTTACTTTAATAATAAATATAGCTTTCCCTAAACTAAACTAAATAGCTGTAATGAAAGAAACAAACGTGTAAAAATAAAATATTTATAACTAGCTGTAACCCGTGGTTTCGCCCGTGGTCATGTTGAAATTTGAAATTGAAAGAATTACATCGCTGTTCGATTCTCGATCGGATCAACTCAGAAACAATTCAAACCCAAGCCATTTGCTGCTGTGTACCCAGATATACGTTGTCTAGTTTCTTAGCTCGAGGTACAAGCAATTGTTACATTTGTGTTATATATTATTTAAATACTATAAAACTTTTTATTATACAATTGATGGAGAAATCGGCGGACATACAAAAAACAATACAGTGGAACGTGGATACTCCTTCTTTTTTAGAGTCGGTTAAAAACTATCCAACATCTAGACAAAACTGGTTTTCTAGTCGCAAAAAAATAAGACATTTATATGTATTTGTTGGCGTAGATTAGATACAGCGAAACATTTTAATTATTAATATTCCATTAAGAGGCTACCTTGTAGTGCCGACATAGAATGGGCCACCTTTTACTTTCCCGTGGGTGTCGTAAAAGGCGACTAAGTTAACTCAATGATCAAAAGATGGCCAGCAGCGTCCCTCTTCACCAAAACGCGAATTAATGTTTCCAACCACCTGCCAAGCGTGGCAGCTAATGGCAACGCCCTTCTTATGAGGGAAGCTTATGTAGATAATTAACGGCTTCTACAAACATACTTCGTTAAGTAAATATATCTTTATCCTTATCTTAATATGATGATGATGATGTAGGAATCTTTTTATTATTATTTCAGCCCTTAACTGTCCACTGTTAAACATAAGCCTTCCCCATAAGGGGAGTTTTGCCAGTAGTTACCACGCTTGGCAAGTGTAGTATATTATGTTCACGTACTGGCCACTAATAATTTTGTAAATACTGGCCGGTAATAATTTGTTCTATTTATTCTTCCAATGAATAAATTAGTGTTTAACCAACTCGCTTGCGTATCACTACAGCAAGCGAGTTGGCTACCGCAGTTAAGCTTTTACAAATGTTTTAAGAGGGACGCTACTGCCCATCCCTTCACCATAAGCTTCCTTAGTCGCCTTTTACAATCCCTACGGGTCTTATACTTATCACAGTCACATAGGTATTTTAATTTAGAGAATATACTCATTTTTATTTGCAATTTTTTATCTTTAAATTGTTAGGTATTACGGAAAGCTATTTACAATGCCATAGAGCGTCGAACAATCTAAATACGAGTGCACTCTCTGACGCCTAACTTTTTTACACATTCCAATTTTCCTTGAGAAACGAATGTAGCTACTAAATATAGTCAGAAACTGTAAATCTAGTAACAGTTTAGTAGTATTTAAAGAGATCTTGTAAATGTTAACGATTAAATAGAACAGGGAAACGTCCAAGATGAAACGTATCACTTTAGTCGTGTTGGGTTTACTAGTTTTGGTAGCTTGTGTATCAACACACCCAGGTGAGTCCACCCAGATTATTCTAGTCTTTCGAAAATAAATATGATAAGTTTCTCTTAAACTTAAATTAAGTCCTACCCGTATGTCTCCCGCTGAAAATCAGTGCTGTAGCTCTTCAGTTACAGCATGACACTGAGTGGGGATCATTTCGGCAAACATTGCGTAACCACTTGCGTAACACATATTTTATCAATCAATCACTTTTATCAATATTAATCACAGAATATCTTACGTATAAATCTACTATTTTATATTTGCACCTACTTCTCATTTTTATCATCAAATACATTTTTGCCATCAAAATCATAACTTTCAGTAACAGCTTAATAAGAATATTATTGCATAATTAATAATTTCGAATTTAACATTGAAAATTGTTGAATTGTTTTTGACAATTGACAGATAATTACTACGTAGCTGTACTTCGTTCTGAATGATCTCAATAACCTATGTTAATAACCCAAAATATTTGTTAATAACATATTTTTTTAATAATATTTTTTATAGGATGGAAAGGCAAAGGAAACGATGATAAAAATAAAGGAAGCAAGGATGATGGCGGCCAGAATAAAGACGCCAAAAACGATGGAGGCAAAAACGACGGCAAAGGTGGTGGTGGCGATGGTGGAAAAAGCGGTGGTGAGAAAGGTGACAATAAAAAAGATGGCGGAAAGGATAGCAGCAACAGCGACTCAAAAAGTGATGAAAAATATGTTGTCAAGGGAGCTTTCTATAAGAAATATTGGTGATAGCCTGTGGAAAATTTAAAAAAGAAAAAAAAAACACGTTCATTATTTCTTAAACTGATATTTAATGTAATATTTATTATTAATTAACAGTTGTGCCAGCTACCCACTTTTATCTGTTCTCCTTTAACTAAAGGTTGTCTGTAAGAGATTGCCCTAACGATAAGACCGCCTTTTGTACCTTTATGTGTATATTTTAAACTGTACTTTATGCTATTGTATTTCACTTGAATTTTCTAATTGTCATGCTATATTTTTATAATTTTGATGCAATAAAGAGTTAAATAAAAAAATATAGGCAGGCACAATATTTAGTAATAAGTAAATTATATAAATAAATTGTTATTCTGAGCAAGTGTCACTTTTTCTAAGACATTCCTACGTAATACTCTGGTAATACATACATAATAATGTATTGGAGCAAATCGTACGAGTAATAATTTTACTTATAGGTGTGTATCTACTTTACATTCCTGGTTTACAAATTTATTGATACATTGAGACCAAGAAAATATATCTATTAAAAAAAACTATACCTACTACGTACAAACTAGATATTTACCTGTTGTTTATTAACCACAACGTTCGTGAGTTACTATAAAAAAGTTAGTATTATTACTTTATCTATGGAGGTATTCAGAATATCTGTTTGTATCTACATTTTAATTTTTAAAACAAAAAAACGATCGAGTAGAGAGCTTATTGAAAAAAGAACAAATGGGTCTAACGACCGACAGACAGACAAGGTCAGTGAGAATGGTGTTACCGTGCACACGGAGGTACGCATTTTCGCATTATTTCACACTTATTACAATAGTCATAAAGGTCAAATTATAACAGGAAACATTGAAAAGAGATGTAATTACACTGATTCCAAGATTAAGGACTAATAGAGCAGTTGATTTGAAAATCAAAACGACGCATATCTGTTTGAAAAAAATAAGTTCTTATTTCATTATAGATAAGGATTATATTTTATAATAAGTAACCAATATAAATATTGAATTATTAGAATTTCTTAAGGCTAATCTTAAGGCTATGTTGTTTTGTGTTGTTATTTTGTGTATTGTGTTTTCCGACCAAGAATCTTACCTTGGACTTCATCTATGAAAAACTACTGGCTCATGGAGGATCCAAACAAAACAAACTATCAAATTGATTATTTCTCATGAGACATAATGAAAAATAAGTCTTCATTTGGTCGGTATATGTGTAACTTCCTTCTGACCACCCACTCACACATACAAGCGTTAATAATGCATCGTTAATAATAAATAAAAATAAGTAAAAAGAATAAAAATCGTTACATTATAATGAGCGAAAATAATCGTCTTGACAAGTTCTTATTTTCAGATATGTCTTTTTTCAATTATTCACGATGTAAATGAATATGATCGTAAAGGGTTTTTTTAATGTGTGAAAATGAAATGGTAACTGCGCCTGCGCTATTGGTATATGCTGACTACTAAGCCCAAGGTGACGAATTCCACAATAATTAACTACGATGGTTTTCAAGGGGAACCGCGTGGAGGTCGACCTTAATATACATATTGCTAGCAATGGAGCTGTTAGGTACCCAATACTAACAATCCGTTTCCCCCGTAACGAGGCTGTTAAATCCTATTACTAACAATCCCTTTCCCCCCTGGTCGTAGGAAGCATTTTGATGGATGATAATATAATGGTAACCCCGCTTGAGCTAATGGTATGTGCTGGCGGGGCACCTGTGAGGGATGGTAGGTAAGAATGAAAACACCTGTCAGTGAGCACGATGGCTTCCAGGGGGGAGCAGGTGGAAGTCGACCTGACAGAATATATTGCTAGCAATGGGACTGGTAGTCCGCATTACTAACAATTCCTCGCCTTTGTACATTATGTTTATAATGAATTGTAATTTACAGTATGTTTTGTACAATAAAGAATAAAGAATCCCTTTCCCCCGGTCGTAGGAGGTTGTAATGTTTTCATTACAATGTGAGTGATATCTTAGGAATGTATCATTATTTTTAATTGGTAAAAATGGTATGCACTTGCGTGACGGATTATAGGTACCAAATTCAATAAGAATTAACAGCGTTGGTTTCCAGGAGAAACCAGAATGGTAAATGGAGCAATAGGGCTGTTATATCCCATCATTAACAATGCCTTTTCCAACCCCCTTAGAGTGGGGGAAAGAGATTGTTAGTAATGTAGACTACCAGTCCCATTGTTAGCAATATAGCTTATCAGGGCGACCTCTACGTGGTCCCCCCTGGAAACCATCGTGCTGAAGTCTAGATGTATTCATCACGAAGGGCTAACTGACCTGCCTTTTCATTCTAGCCTATCATGCCTCACTAGTGGCCCGCCAATGTATAAGGTTAGCACAGGCGGCGTTACTATTCCATTATCAACCATTGAAAAAAAAAACCCTTAGAGCTGTATCAACAAACCACGCACTCTTGTACTCACAACTTAATCATATAATTGCGGCCACTTCAATATTGACTCTTGGACAAAGTCAAGGGCGAATTGATCAAAACAAATTGCCGAATTATTTTGTTTGTGACCCCTTTGTGTGTCCATCACGGTGTCGCCAAAACATGACAGTAGTTGACCGTGACGCATCATCATTTGTGATGCAGCGTGTCCATCCTGTCTGCTGTGACCATATAAAATGATGTCTGAATCGAAGCAAAACATAGTTGGGCTATCACCATGGCGAAGGTGGCTCTAATACTGACGCTGGTGGTGTTATGGTCTATGGCCATATCTGCTATTCCTGGTAAATATTTTTATTTAATTAAAGAGACGAACAGTGTTGCCAAATACAAGTTTCTGAAATATAAAGTGAAACTGAAATCCGAAATGAATTTAGCATTCTTTCAATGGAATGTTGTACAAGTGGAGCTAAACAAATTTTCATAAATAAAAATTAAGTTAGTGTGCCACAAAAAAAAATGTCATTATAACAAATAATACAAAACCAGTTATTTTTAATTTAAAATTAAACAACTGAACCGATTTTGATAAAATTTCAATGGAACCAATATGTAAGTGATCTTATGCAATACAAAAGAATTTTTCAAATTGATCACCAACTAATAGTAACAAACATATAAAATATAACTGAATTGAGAACTTTAATTTTGAAGTCGGTTGACAATAAATCCAATAAAAAAAATTTGATCCATCCATTACAACACGACGCGTCCACCTGTCAACTTGGTATGGAAGATTCAAAATTTATTCTATCTATATTTATTGTGCAGTAACTTTTATTTATGGATTTAACATAATTTATAACCACGTGAACGATAGGTATTATATATTGCTAGACAGAGATAAAAAGTAGCTTACGCCCTCCATACTAATCACAAACGTATATGCAAAGTTTCATGACAATAAATTGAACCAAACACCGTACTAGAAGAAATTAGCGTTCACTAAATATTGCAGTATTATAAGAGTCGATTACTACTTTCTAACAAATATGCCATCAGTCTGTTTGTCATTTTAAATATATTACTTATAATTTATAAGGGTAACTGGTCGGAAATTTTAAATCTATATTGGTTGAAAAAGAAATATAAGTACGATCCCAAGCATTGGGATTTTTAAATCACGTCTGAAGAATTATTACCTCTCACAAAGCTGATGTACGTACTTATTATATTTGTGTATTATATATAATATATATCTATCTATTTATATGTATTTACTTATATATATTTTATTTATTTATTTATACCTATTGGTCTTTTCAATTGTAAAGACATTTTATTTATTTATTTTTAACTATAACATTTAAGTCGATTGGTACACATGTATGACTGTAACTACTAATGAACTGTCACTTTTCTCATATTGGATTTGCTGGATGAAATCTCTATTGGAGATAAGCTCGCCTTTGTGCACTATTATGTTTGTTTTTATATTTTAATCACCTTTTGTGTACAATAAAGAATAATTTCCTATTTGTAATTGGTTTTTATAAATATTTGCAATTACAGAAGCATCTGTTTAAAGACTACTAACAAGAATTATGCTGACAGGTCGGCAAGATATTATAATATTTTAATGTAAGAATACCATGATTGACTTACGTGAATTTTAGTCGAGAATGCTCAACTAAACTATATATAATACACGTAAAATATTATACATAATACACATATTGACTTACAATTCAATATTATTATAATAACAATATAATGATTTAATGATATGTACATAATATTATTAAGATGCCTACTGTTAACACACCATAATTTCTAGGAAAAAGGATAAGACGCGGCTACAATAATAGCGGGTATGGTGGCGGATACGGACGCGGGAGCGACGAGCGGGACGCTAGTAATAGCAACGAAAGCAGTAATGGATGTAGCAGTGAAAACAACAGAAAGTATGCATGGATGTTTTTCTTTTCTTTTGTATAGTTAGGTTTTAAGTCGAATCAAGTTAAATTAATTCGTTTATTAACAAGAATGGGGAATACATTACTTAGTTTAACTATTTGCCAATTTGTCTTAGGTAGGTATAACAATACAATGCTTGTACTATCATAACTACCAAAATATCAAGTAATTAAAGTTATTCGATATTTTGATAGTAAATTAGCCTGCTTCAAATCTTTTAAAAAGAAAATACTTCAAATAACCCTATAACGAAAGTTTTTAAAGGTATTTTAGTGTAAGTATATTTGTTACTTAATATTATAGGGCGGATTATAAAAAAGACATATAATACTTTATACATATATTATTACACGCGGGTAATGCCGTAAGAAACATCTAGTATACATACATATCATCATCATCATATAAGCTGTTAATTATCTATTACTGAATATATACCTACATAATACGTAATACAATAATACATATATAATGTAAACCTATTAGTTACAGCGGCAGTCGTGAAACGGCCTACAATAGAAACGGACGGCAATATAACGACAACGCTCGAGGCACGCGGTCGTTCACAAAAGCATCCGCTTCCGCCGCCGCTAGCTCCTTTAGCCAGAACCTCAAGACTAACAATGTGTCTTAGATTCAATGCGAACAAAAACAATGAACATAGTTCATAATTTGTTTTATTAATTTTGTACGCTTTTACGATTGTATATTGTATCACTGTAATTACAACTTAATATTTTTAAAACTTATTTATTTATTTATTTATATGCTTTTGTACATTCACTAATAGTATAGATATTAGGTTATAACAAAAATGTACACAAGCGGACTTATCCCTTAAAGGGATTTTTTAAAGTCACTTTGAGAACCCAAAACGAGAAAGTGTATATAGGGTTTGTATATAAAGCATAACATATATGTATACTTATGTTATTTTTTTATAATTGTTATAACTGGACAACGGAAATTTAATTAATCTAAAATAATTAAATGAATCGTTGTGTAGTTAATATGTAAATAATTAATTACACATTATTAATTTAAAATTAATTATTATAACAAAAGTGTATTTAAAAAAGCGTATACATATATTTTTACATGGATTGTCATCATGATATGATCTCTGCCTACTCCATACAACGTGAACTACTAATAACATTATCAAGTACCTGCACGCCTACTTATATATGTTTATATCATAACTGGACAACGGAAATTTAATTAAGTGTAAAAAAATAATTAAATGAATCGTTGTATAGTTATATGAATATAATTAATTTTACATTATTAATTTAAAATTTATTTTATAATCAAAAGTATATCACGAAAGTATAAACCTGTCTTCTTATATGGAGCTTCACCATGGTATGATCTTTATTTGCTCCATAAGACGTAAACTATTAATAACATGATCAAGTAACTGCACGCCTACTAAAACATAATTATTAAGTAATTCACATTGTTACTACGTAGTATTGTCGTTAATTTATTTTTAAGCCAAACATGATTTATCTATTCATATAATGATATACCAAAAAAGTAATTTTAAATGCAATAAACACGAACAAAGACTTATTTTTTCTCTCTATTATTACTACTCGATCTGATAGGCGATCTTCTCAAAATTACCGTAATTAAAATAATAAGAGGTAATTAATATTAACTAATTATTATTAATAATAATACATTAACTACGAATATTAACAAACTTGGTGATTTAGTGCTACCTCCCATTATCTACGGGTTCAATTCCCATATAATACAAGAATTTGTATTCATGTGTGTACGTTTGAATGGTCTAAGAGATTTTATATATTATACAATATTTTTTAACAAGATTCCGATATTTCGGCAGTATACAACTTTGCCGTGATATGCCTTTAAAATGTATTTCTCATGCAGTCATTTTTTACATTAAAATATTTAAAACATTTTTTGTTATAACTCGCTAAATAACAAATTCAAGCAACATTTTAATTCTTTTTTTTAATCTCCAAACATACATTTTTAAAAGACGTAAGTAAGACATCTATAATTCCTCTGTGCAACTAACAATTTATTTGCAAATCCTACGCTGGAATACTAGATATATACGATAAGGCTGATATACCTGAAGAAGGTAAAAGCCCTTAAAAATTTAAAAAAAGAATCATAGAACAGTTTATCATTGACTATTTTCTATAATATATTTAATAATTAACTATTATTATATTATTATTAGTAATTGCATCTTTTCAGAACGGTTAGTTCAATTTAGTATTTTATTAAGAGAGAAAAATATTCGGAATTAGTTTTTTGCGTTCAATTCGTAAGGTCGTAAGGTCTAGATTTAGAATACACATAACTTTGCGACATAAAAAAAGAATATACATGTACAAGAATGTACATTTAGAATTATTTTTTATACATGCTACATACAATATTCATTATTTAGGACCCAAAATAACGGAAACTAAATTTTCGATATTTTAAAGTGCATAATATTAGAATAAAGGCACAGGTTTAATTTTATTCTACATTAAAGTAATAATCACTTTCAGAGACAGGATGATCTCTACACCCTAATCACCAATTCGTTCCCCAAATTCCTGTCTTTCAATTTCTAACCTCAAACCTCTAACTCATCATAAGTTACGACATGAAAAATAAATCTACATATTAAAAGAAGTTATTGGAGGAGAGTGTTAATTTTGGCCTTACAATAAAGGAAAAAAGAAGGGAAATAGGATATAATTATAAAACAAAATATATAGATTGTGGACCATTTATATTTATATCATTAACAATAATAATCTTTTAAAAATAATCTAACATGTTTATTATAACATATCTATCACGATATAATACATTGGATTGCGGACCCTTTACTAATAGAAGAAAATTTTTACAACTAAAATAAATAATAATGTTACGCCATATCTGAAACAAAGAGTAAACATTAATCAAACTATATAAATAAAAAAGTCTTAATACTAATGAGTAAATAAGAGTGTCAATAAGAAATTTAAATTTATCTAAATTTAATGTTAAAATTTTATTTAAATAAGTACCAAACAATCACACCAATCTTCTCAATTCTAAAATCCCAAAAATGGTCCTCAAACTAGGATACCCTGTGTTATAAGAAACCAGGTGCAACCACAACATCTGGAGATATCTGGGTTATGGATTAACCCATATATACCCCAGATTAACCCAGAACACCCTACAGAAAGTTCAATTCCTGAATTAGCCCTACCAGGAATCGAATTCGAGGCCTCATTTACGCAAAGCAAAATCACAACGTCACCAAGATTGTCAATGAGACGAACATGCAAAATTAGTAAAGAAGGCCCTAAATTCTAAGATAACATAATTCGGTGGACTTGTCATCATCATCATATAATCCATTAACTGTTCACTGCTGAACATAAGCCTCCCCCTGAAGGGCTTTGTCAGTAGTTGCCACGTTCGGCAGGTGAATAGGCAACCGATGTTAAGCTTTGGCTAGGAGGGACGCTGCTGCCTATCCCTCGACTATTAAGTTCTCAAAGCTGAGAATGTAAAATGAACTTTCTACTTCACGTAAAAACTACAATGAATGTAAGATTTTAAGAAAACTGATGAAAGATTGAAATCATGAAGAAAATTGAAAAGTTTCTTTAGGACTCGCAACGCGCAAGGTCTATGCTAAATTGCCACTTTGTGACATAAAGAAAAATAATAAATTAATTAATTAACTCACCTGTTCTCAACCTAAACCGACACCGCCGACTGAGCCTGAGCTGGCGCTAGCCGAGGACTTGGAGAAGGACTGCGAGCCGGCGACCGGGTAGCCGATCCCGCCGAGCTGCCCACCTTGCGCCGGGCCGAGACCGCCGAAACCGCCACCGCCGCCGCCGCCGCCACCGCCGTAACCGCCCAGTCCTCCTTCATAGTACCGCCTCACTCGCTCACCTTTATATAATTGGAATAAGAAACATATACCATATTTGGGAATGTGGAAGAAGCGAAAGAGGTTTGTTTGAATCGAAGCATTTGGCTTTCTTTCTGCCTACCCTAATGGGAGACAGGCGTGACAGATATGTATGTATGTATGTATATTTGGGAATATATTTTGAAAAGAGGAAAGAGTTTGGGGTCCTCCTTTAATGAAATTTACATTCTAAATTACGGCCAATAAGAATACTCCTGTGCTGTACCTAATTCTGAAAATAGTAGGACGCCGTTGACATATTAATAAAATATTTTGATTGTTTATTTTAGTGGATCGAATTATACATAACGAATTTTATGGATAAATATTTAAAACTTTATAATAAATTCTTGCTATCAATATACATTTATATTTGAATTGGAAGTTACAGAAGTTTTATTAAGAAAAGTGTCTATCACTTTCTAAGAATGGATATTTCGCCAAGATCACTGGTACTGCCAGTAGGATTTTAATAATTCTTTTTACATTCAATAGCTCATTTCACAAGGAACATTGGAGACTATTGAACATCATAATATAGCAACAAGCAAAGCCGCGGAATGAAGCTAGTTATGTACAAGTAGAGACTACAGAAGGGGGTTCTTTAAAAAAGGTATATTAAGGTATCTTCAGGATCTTTTTTTATGGTTGCGGTACAGTATTTAAGGCATCCCGTCCTCGCTATTGGATACGGGCGACGAAATGCCTATACAAGAGGGTACATGGTGGGCACAGTTTAGACGCAATATTTGAGGAGCATTAGGAAGGTACTACGGCCGGATACTGCAACAAATGAGTATGTGGTCGGCCGAACTGGCGACCTCTGCTGTCTACCGGTCCCCAATTCGAGGGACGACCGATTACTGGCCGTAAAAGATGACGCAGGGCGTCTATAAAAACACACCAATCATATAGTTGCATCACACTGTGTAAAAATGATTGAAAACGGCTTATAGAGAGCGGCAGAAGAGTAAAGCGGTTAGGGACTGCGAAGAAGTAAAAGAATGGTCGACTACCGGGCACGCGACCACCCCGGGCATTGTTGCGGCCGCGCGTCCGAGAGTCGACCGGCCATAAACCGCTGTGATATACAAAAATGCAAATGTATTGGAAACGTTTACCTGGTGCGGCGAGGCTGGTAGCAACCAACACAGCCAGAACCAAGAAGATGATATGCCTTGCCATGTTCTCGATCCCGTACTCGACTGATGCAGCAACTAGTGATTCCGACGGTTTTATACGACACCCAGCGCACCTAACAAAGTGTCCAATCATCCCGGGCTGTTAACGCCAAATCAATAAATTCACAGTCATGCTTTTTTTCGGTAATGACGTATAGTGGTTCGTGGTGACAAACGACGCCACTGAACGTGACGCCATTGAATGGTGCTCTTTTTCGGGAAATACAAAAAGTATGTCCCATCCATTCCTATTTTTTTTAATAAGCAATAATGGAATGGTAACCCCGCTTGCGTCATCAGTAAACGCTGGCGAGACGCCGGTGAGAAATGATAGATTAGAATGAAAGCAATACAGCTGATCCTAATGAATTCCACGTGAATTAACCTCGGTGGTTTCCAAGGGGAATCACATAGAGATTACCCTAATAGGGTATATTACTAGTAACACAGCTGTTAAATCTCCGTTACTAACAATCCCTTCTCCCTTCTGTTCCTATTTGGCATGGTTGAATACCTATATGCCTAATATAATTTTTAATAGTTCCTACTGTCATATATGTTCATGCCACATTTTATAAGACAAGCATATTGACTACTAAAGTGCTCTATCCATACTTACATCTTTTGCTTCTACCCCATTTAGAACTCATCACATACAAGCACACTCTCAGTTCAGGAATTTGAACATGGCTCTCAGTAGTCGATCTAAGTGACTATGGCATATCAGTGTAGATATCCCGATTACTGTACTGATTACCATATATATACATATTTTACCTTTGGCAATTTGTCTCGCCGTATGGTTCTGGCATAGAATAGGCCATCCCTTCCTTTCCCGTGAGTGTCGTATGAGTCAACTAAAGAAGGGCGAAAAATGGGCAGCAGCGTCCCTCTTAAAACATCTCTAGAGCCTGACTGCGGTTGCCAACCCGTCTGCTAAGCGTGGCAACTACTGGCAAATCTCACTTTATGGGGAAGGCTTATGTTCAGCAATGGACAGTGAATGGCTGAAATAATAATAAAAAATAATAAATTTGTCTCATGGGACTTAGGACATATCTGCTGTGTTGTTAAGATTAATTTTGATATCGCCATTGATTATCTGTGTACTACGAGATTTAATATATTATGTGTGTGTGTATTGTGTATGTAAATTTACGTACATTCGTTTTAAGAATATTGTTACTAATAAATATTTAATGGAGCAAAAAAGTCCGAAATAAAAATTAATATTATTATTATTAAACAAATGACAATATAATTCTAATGTATAATTGAAAATTTGGAAAATTTTTACTTATAATAGTACCTTAAGTTTACAATTTCATGTAATATTTTATGACATGTTCAAATGTACACAAATATATAAATTTTTAAATGTTTTTAGGTAAATTAAATGACACAAAAACTAAAAGGGACTTATTTACTTGAACAAAGTTTTTCCTGAAAGGTTCCGTACGACGCTTAGAATTTTAAAATGTAGGTAACTACACCGCGAATAATCGGAAGTTAAATTAAATCAGATTCTACACTCACGAGTTATCAATCCTAGTGATATGAAGGTCATCATTGTCATATCATTCATTAACTGCTCACTGTTATACATAGGCCTCCCCCTTGAGGAGTTTTACTAGTACATAGTTGCCATGCAAGTCGGCAGGCGGGTTGGCAACCGCAGTTAAACTTTGATGACTTTTTATGAGGAATGCTGCTGCCCATCCCTCAACCACTAAATTCCCTTTGTCGCCTTTTACGACACCCACGGAAAAGGAAGGGATAGCCCATTCTATGCCAGGACCACACACAATATTGAATCAAATTGGTAAATATGTTTAGAAATTAATACCCATTCCTCTTTTTTTTTTATACAATTTAGAATGGTAAACAAGCTGATGGCCGATCTGATGGAAAGTGGTAAGCGTTGCCATTCCTGAGGACTCAGGTATTATTCCTCAACGGAATACGACGTATTGAGATTTAGTATTATTAAATTCGCTATTAGTGAATATCAGATTTTCACAAAATTAATCAGTTCACATCTCGAATAAGTTATTAGAGGTGTGGAACCCTAATACTTATTAGTTCCATTCGTGGGTGACCGACACGCTGAAATGTATAATGGATGATGTTTTTGTAGTCACGCTTTAACAGAACAATTGCAGGTAAATTTGATTCAAAAAACATCAAAATTCGATGTTCTAGATGTTGTGTATTTTGTTTATCTATGGTTGGGTATCAGGAATCAATCTGTGGCGGACATCGAAGTAGGAAGTAAGTTTTAACTTGTCAGATTTATAATAAATAAAATTACAAAATATCAATCATTGTTTTAATGAATAAAATATGGTGGCAGCGGTTAATTAAAATATCCAAAGCAAATTGTGCAACAAAATTGAGTCATGGATCATAATATAAATTCACTAAAACCATTTAACATCCAAGATGGCGATGTCGTCCAATCTTGGCAAAAGTGGAAACAAATATTCAATAACTACATGATAGCTATGCAGTTCGACACATGCTCGGATGAAAGAAAAATTGCCATTCTACTACATTCTATGGGTGAGCAATGTCTGGACATATATAACTCATTCAGTGAAAAAGAAAAGTCAACGTATATCTTAGTTTTGAAATCCTTTGACGATTATTTTATTCCAAAAAAGAATTTGGCAATAGAACGCCATAAATTTTTTACGTTGAAGCAAGAAAGTGATTCCTTAGACACTTTTCTAACAAAATTGAAAAAACAGGCATCTGTATGTGAATTTGGACAATTAAAAGATTCTTTAATTAGAGACATGTTCATATGTAACATGGATAAAACAAATAATCACATAAGAGAAAAATTGCTTACTGAAAATGATGTAGATTTATATAAATTAGTGACTATATATAAATCTCTTGAGTTGTCATTTAATAGTACATCATATCTCTCTCAAGAAATTCCTGTAGCTACTCTGCGCAGTTCAAGAACAACAGCACATTCTCACTCTAAACAGCTTTCTACAAGTCAAAATGGATTAAAACAACAGCAGGCTGTACCATTTAATAATAATAATACAGCCAATTTTGACAATAATAAAAAATGTACCAGATGTGGACAGTATCACAGATTTAAATGTCCTGCTAAGTCTGTAAAATGTAAAAGATGTCACAAGATTGGTCATTATTACAATCTTTGTAGAACACCAATAAATAACATTGAATATGATGAAATGGATTCATCTTTAAATTCAGGTTGTAATCATTCAAATTCTACTAATTTATTGTCTGATACATTTATAGGTACTCTGTCATTTAATAATAATTTAACTGTGTCTTCATTAAATATGGATAATGACTGGATAATCAGTATCAAAATTAATAATGTAAACTTAAAATTTTTAATAGATACAGGAGCAAAAGCTAATTGTATGTCATATGAAACATTTTGTAAACTCAATTTGTCAAGTAACATTATCAAATATTGCTTTTCAAAGTTATTTGCATATGGTGGTGTCAATATACCAATAAAGGGATATTGTGTTATTGAATGCCTAATTAATGATAAAATGTATAAAATAAAATTTATTATAGTAGATATTTCATGTCAGTCAGTCTTAGGGGCAGAAACATGCACAAAAATTGGTCTTGTTCAAAGGATTTTTAATAATTCCCTAACTAGTCAGCCTGATAATTTAAAAACTTTATTAATTAAATATGAAAACCTTTTTCAGGGCCTGGGTTGTTTACCCTATGAGTGTCATTTGACTGTCTTACCTGATGTACAACCAAAGATTGATGCTCAACGTAGAATTCCATTTGCATTGCAAGACAGATTGAAAGAAGAGCTGGACAGGATGACAAGACTGAATGTTATAGAGAAAGTGTCAAAACCTACTAAATGGGTTAGTTCTATTGTTATTGTAGAAAAATCTAATAATAAACTTCGAATTTGTTTAGACCCTAGAAACCTGAATGAGGCAATACAAAGATCACATTTTCCTTTGCCAACTATTGAAGATATAAGATCAAAATTACATGGGGCTAAAATATTTTCACACCTGGATGCTTTTGCTGGGTTTTGGATGATACCTCTTGATTCTGAGAGTTCAGACCTTTGCACTTTTAACACGCCACTAGGTCGATACAAATTCAAAAGATTACCATTTGGTCTTAATTGTTCAACTGAAATATTTAGTAAAACACTTGTAGAAGCATTCTCAGACATACCGGGTGTAATTATATACATTGATGATATATTGGTTTATAGTAATGATGAGGCCTCACATGTAGCAACTTTACAAAAAGTATTCAATCGAGCAGAATCTATAAATCTTAAATTTCAAAAAGAGAAATGTGTCTTTCAACAAAATGAAATAAAATTCTTAGGACAAATATTTAGTGCTGAAGGTATGCGCCCTGATTATGACAAAATCAAAGCCATTTGTGAAATGCCTACTCCAAATTGTCAAAAAAGTTTACAAAGATTTCTAGGCATGATAAATTTTTTAGGTACCTACATCAAAAATCTTTCTACAGAGACAGAGATATTTAGAAATCTTTTAAAAAAAGACTCAATGTGGTTATGGGATGAAAACCATAATAAAGCCTTTCAAAGACTTAAAGATTTAATCACAAAATCACCTATCTTATGTCATTATGATAATACAAAACCACTAACTTTAAGTGTAGATGCGTCACAATCAGCATTAGGTGCAGTTCTGTTACAATGTAATAAACCTATAGCCTATGCATCAAAAACTCTTACAGACTGTCAGAAAAGATATGCTCAAATAGAAATGGAGTTGTTTGCAATATTGTTCGGTTGTCAAAAATTTCATCAGTATGTCTATGGCAGAAAAATTAATGTAGAGACTGATCACAAACCTTTAATTACTCTCTTTAAGAAACCTCTAAGTCAAGTACCCAATAGACTTCAAAGAATGATGCTATCACTACAAGTATATGATCTCAATGTAACATATGTTCAAGGTTCAAAATTATACATTTCAGACACATTATCTAGAGCTGCTTTATTGGAGTCTGAAGAACATAGTATAGATAATGACATTGCAATACATGCAAATATGTTCATATCTTCTCTTTCAGTTTCTGAAGAGAGACTCCAAATTTATAAAAAAGATACTCTTAATGATTCTACACTACAAAAGTTACTAAAATATTTTATAGAAGGTTGGCCAATTCATAAAAATAAAACAGAACTTTGTGTTAGACAATATTGGAATTATCGATCTGAAATACATGTTATTGATGGACTAGTATTTAAAAATACTAGTCTTATTATTCCTACATCACTCCGTAAAGAAATGTTACAAAAAGTTCATGCAGGTCATTTGGGTATAAGCAGAAGTAAAAACTTAGTTCGTGGTGTAATTTTTTGGCCCAATATGAACACAGACATAGAGCAAGTCATAGAAAATTGTCAAATTTGTTCAAAATTCAAACATAATAATTCTCATGAACCATTAATTGTAAGTGAAATACCTAAATATCCATGGGAGAAAGTTGGAGGAGATTTATTACAATATAAAGACAAAAAGTATCTAGTTGTGATTGATTATTATTCAAAATATATAGAATTAGCTTTGTTAAATACTGGATCTTCAGCAAAACATGTCATTTTACATTTTAAATCGATATTTGCTCGCCATGGTATTCCCTTAAAACTATTTACAGACAATGGACCTCCATTTGATTCAATGGAATTTAAAGAATTTTGTACAAATTGGGATATAAGTCATAGTACGTCGAGTCCTAATTTTCCACAATCTAATGGACAAGTAGAGTCAGCTGTCAAGATTGTAAAAAATATTTTACGCAAGTCAGATGAAGAGAATGTAGATCCATATTTAGCACTTTTGCACTATCGTTCTAATGCAAAAGAATACATGAAGTCTCCTGCGGAAATGCTAATGTCAAGAAAGTTGAGGTATAATTTACCAATAAAGATGAAATTACTGAAACCTAAAACAGTGAGATTCAAAGATATTGAAGAAAAATTAAGGAAGCACAAAGAAAACTATAAAAAATATTATGATAAACGCACAAGAGAATTAACTCCATTGAATAAGGGTGATCACATATGGTATAAGAAAACTCCAAATAGTAATTGGTCGCCAGGTATAGTCATAGACATAGTAAATAATTGTCCAAGATCATACTTAATTAGGTGTAATGATGGCTCCCAATATAGGAGAAATCATTATCATTTAAGATTAAATAATAATGAAATACTGAAACAAAATAAAAATTTAAAACGGTCATTCACTTCGTTACAGAAAAAATTGTCAGATGAAACCAATTTGTTAACAAATAAATATTCTAGTCTACCTATTCCTATGTCAAGTCAGGTTTCTGGGTCAGAACAAAATCATTCAACACAGTCACATAATGGTACATTGTCTCGGTCAAGTCAAAGCTATGTTCAAGAACCTGATCACAGCACATCAGTAACAGTCTTGCCATCTGAGTGCCAAAATGATACAGTAAATGATGTCTCTAACAACTCACAAATCCAGTCGAATGGTACTCTTAATGTTAATAATAAATCACTGTCTTGTAATGTTGATGGTAATCCCACTATGAGAACAAGGTCTGGACGTGTTGTCCGACCACCTGTTAAACTTGATTGTTAGTAAGCATTTTCTCATTTATATAAATTCATGTTCATTTCTTTAAATTTTGTTTATCTTTATGTCAACATAGGAGATGTTGTGTATTTTGTTTATCTATGGTTGGGTATCAGGAATCAATCTGTGGCGGACATCGAAGTAGGAAGTAAGTTTTAACTTGTCAGATTTATAATAAATAAAATTACAAAATATCAATCATTGTTTTAATGAATAAAATACTAGACATTTTTATAACAAAATAGTATTAATTTGATCGAGGACTGACTAGGCTGACAGGGTGCGAAGAAAACGTGTAGCGCAATAACTATTTATCGAATTTAATAAGAACCTATTATATTCTTAAAATTATTAAATACCGATGAGTGCCGAAACAGACTTGTATCTGAAATTGAAACTTCACTCGATCAATTTTCGGCCTGGGACGAATGCAATCTTGTACAATTCAACCCTAAGAAGACACAACTCTGTGTGATCACCGCAAAAAAGACGCCGTTTGTCGTATCTCCTCGCTTTCAGGGCACCTCCCTTGATAATAAGTCGTGTCTAAGAGTTTTTGGCATTGAGATATCTAGCTACGTCCAGTTTTGCGGTCATCTGGAAGAAAAAGCTAAGATAGCTGCTAAAAAGTGAACGGTATTTCACGCCGGAACATCGCTTGAAATTGTATAAAGCTCAAGTCAGGCCGCTTATGGAATACTGTTCTCGCCTATGGGCAGGAGCACCACAATACCAGCTCCTTCCGTTAGACCGCATTCAAAGGCGGGCGGCTCGAAATATTGATAAACGCCTTACTGTCCAACTCGACCCATTGAAACTGCGCAGAGATATTGCATCTCTATGCATCTTCTACTGAATTTATTATGGGGAGTGCTCTGTGGAATTGTTCGGATTGATATCTGCTGCTGCTGCTTTGTACCATCATACAACCCGTCATAAAATAAAATTTCACCCTAATCATCATGACGAGTGGCGGTCTTCCACCGTGCGTTTTTCAAAGCAGTTTCTTCCACGCACAACCACTCTTTGAAATCAACTTCCAGCAGCAGTATTTCTGAACCGATACGACAACATAACCTATAAGAAAAGAGCATATTTCTTTTTAAAAGGCCGGCAGCACACCTGCAATGCCATTGGTGTTGTGGGTAATGATGGGCGGCGGTAGTCACTTACCATCAGGTCAGCCACACGCTCGTTTGTCCCCTGTATTGTAAAAAAAAAAAAATACTAGTCTTTACCTGCGATTTCGTTCGTATATAACGAAATCGTGACAAAGAATAGCCTACGTCTTATTCCATTCCAAAAATACTTGTAAGAAAAGAAGGGGTTGTTAGTTCTTTTGTAGGAAACAATGAAGAGTATCTATCTATTTAGCTATCTATCATTTAATCATTTTATGCATTTTTTGTTGTAAACTTAACTTTAAGCTTAACTTATATTTGAAAAAAGAAACAACAGCTGTGTTTCTTCCCCGTTCTTCTCAGCTGAAATTACATTCCGAACTAGGCGGTAGGTTTATAAAAAAAACACTATTCAAAAATGCTTATTAATAAGTTTACTTGAATAAAAATTATTTTATATTATTATTATTAAAAGATTTCGCTCTGATGTCAAACTGAAATTTTAGATATAGAATTAGAGAAATGGCGCCATATTTGATTTTATCGATTCTATTTTCTGTTATAAAATTTGTTCAACGTTTTACTCTGTGTAACAGATCAGAGAGAACAAACTTTATTTCAAAGCTTCTTAAAAAAACGTTCCATCTTTTAATTTTGTTACATCAATCAAAGCTTTATACCTATTTCTTCGTGAGACGCAATAAATAGCGTAGTGGTATAAAAAATGCAGACTTCGTTATCGCCGTTCCGCTTCTTGAGCACTAGTATGAAGTGGGTTGCAAACTGACGCTGTGGTACATCAGTTTGGTAGTACAATCACTGTACAAGTAACAATTTGTATAAAATCATATCATATTAATCTTCAATATGATGCCTACAGCCACTTTTAACCATCACACTGCACGCTATCGGCAGGGAATTCATCCTTACACCTTAGAATCAAAATGGTCATGCACAGTGCGGTTTTAGTGGAGCTTACTCCCGTGAACGCTGAAATTGAACGACCTTTCTGCCGAAGTTTTTCCTAGAGGTTTTTTAAGGGTCTGCAACGCGAGTGTGATATCCCTGTTACAGACATAGGCTACGGTAACCCCGTTTACCAACAAACATGCCATAGGCTTGTTTTTTTTTAATGAGTGATAATGGAATGGTAACCCCGCCCACGCTATCGGTATACGCTGGCACCAGTGAGGGATGATAGGTGACGATGAATGTAGATCCGTTAGCCCATCATCACGAATTCCACTAGAAGTATCAGTGATTTGCCTAATGACAGTCTGTATTCGGTTCTTGGTGGGGCCAATTTAGAAAACTCAGAAATTTCACAGGCTATCCTATTTAGAGCAAGAAGATTTATGTAATTGTGTGGCGATTATTCATTTAAACATGTATGCTCCCATAAAAAAAAAATATTAGGTTAATAAAGAGGTAGTAAATATACTTAAATGATAGACATACCGACTCATATAATAATTGTATAGATACCTATATGTGACAGCCAACTTAATAAAAAAAAATATTGGAGCGAAATAAAATGCATTTTTTTTTCTTGATAATTTTTATTTACAAATGATTAAAAAATATGTGACCAATGTCACTGTAACAAACTATACCGCACTCATACAATGTAATGTAAAATATAATTGCAGTACTAGCCTGTGAACCAGCCATTAAGTCTCATACAATGATGTCAAAATTTAATTTTACAAAGTCACACAGTAAGTAAAATATTTAATAATACATAAAATAATTTTATTTATGTATGGCTACAAAATTTAGAATTACAAAATTCGTTTTACAAAGAATAAATAATAAATATATATAACAAGAGTCAACACTATAACCATAGGAATAGTTAACTATTAAAAAATTGTTTAGGAAAGTAATTTAGACAGTTTGGGAATGTTGTGAAAAATACTTTTAGTTCATTGTATTCTCAAACATTTACTAACATGATAAAATAATATTTAAGGTCCTTTGATTTTATTAAAAAAAAATCTGAGTTAATATTGCCAAGTAAATTAATTTATTAAAAAGTATAATTACGCTTTAAAAATATAAACCACACTGGTTTCTTTTCTTTCAAAAGACAAACTTTTTAAAACCGGTCAGGAATAGTAATATAGACGGAACAAAAATAAGTAATGCACAAGTAGTTATATGTATATATATTTATGATATTATTTATTCATCACTTTATCTACAAATTGATTACAATCCAAAATAAATTATTTCGCATAAAAACGGACACTTACAATACTTTCTGTATAGTTAAGAAACTTAAACGTTACCACATATCCGTAGCGTTAGGCTCACAATAAGGCAAGTGGTCATCCTTTAGCAACATTACGAATAAATTATATAATTATTTCTAAAAACAACAACCAAGGATGTTGAAAAATAATCAATTCATAATCGAATAAGTATTATTAAAATAAAAAATATGTCAAATTACTCTTTCCTACAAGTATCCGTTTTCATGAAAATGGTATCATACCTTAAAATTAATGTATTCAAACAGGCTGGTCAGAAACAGGCAATATCAACAATTATAATGGTCACATACATTTTAAATCTAAAATCCAGAGGTATTATTTTCTAAAACTAAATCATAGACTAGTAAAATTCTGTTCACTATTACAAAAAAAAAAATAATATAACCTTAAATAAATTTGCTTAGTAAATATACAGCAACAAACAACAAAATTCATCTAAAAGCTACCATTGAGACGTTATTATAACTATTCGTATTGTATAATATAAAAAGTATTACAGTTAATGGCCACTTCAACTACACGTAGACAATAAATTGCTATAGACAACAATTGGCTATGGCTTAATAAACAAAACTGGTAAAACACGCATTAATAAATACGCATATGTATATATATTTTTTTAAAACATTGCACGAGTATGATTATAATGCACGATTTGATAAAAGGAATAAACGAATAATAATATTATTTTAAAATTATGCACAAAATTATAAATTAAAAATAATATTTGTTGATAAAATTTACTTGTCATCATTATTTTATGTGTACTAAAACTTGTTGTTGTTGTATGTTGGCATTAATTTAAAAAACAAGGATATTATATTTTTTAAATGACTGGCCACGATTTCACAATATCTACTGGCTTAATTGTTATTTCGGGCATAAATTGACCACAGCTGAACAGCAGGCCTTCCCCATATCAGTTTTGCCTGTAGTTGCCACACTTGACAAGCGGGTTGGCAACCGCAGTCACATTTTGGTGAATTTTGTAGAGATACCTACTATCACTATTTATATATTTTTAATGAAATTCAATGTAATATAAATAGCATTACAATATTAAAAAATAATTTTAAGAGTTCTTTTTTTAAATATTTAATTCACTACAAAATGATACCTAATGGTTTAAAATTATATATTTCTAATAAAAAAACATTGTGATATAAGAAAATTTAAAAAATACACTCTTTTTTTTAATATTTTATTCAGTACCAAGTGCAATCTTAAACTAGTTTGCACTTAGCTGTCATCTGATCGCATAAATTGAATGTAAAATTTAAATTTAGATATAGAAAATTAAAATATTTGGCTGTGCGTTTAGCTTATTCTCTTGTGTATAAACTATAACATTACTAACTGCTAACATTTCAAATCGAATTTATTTTGTAAATATTTTAAAACAAAATTAAAAAATTAAATTGTAAATTTTGTACACACGCAAAGTCTACGAATTAACCTATATTACGGTCCAATAATTCATAAGTAGTTCTATAGTTTAATTAATATTTAGCTACACTATATACAATAGGGTTGTGATGTAAACAACTAGACGTTAAAAAAATAATCATAATAAAAAAATAACTAGTAACATTATTAGTGATGTCTCAAAAATCGATCAGGCGTCGATGTATAATTTGCTAATTGACAAAATTATTATGCATTTCGCTGGCAATAATTAGTACCTAAATATTTATTGCACATTCAAAATCATATAGCAATAACTAGTTAAATATAGGCAGATATAATGGAATTTATATATATAATATAATTTGATTCAATGTAATTGTGCAATGTTTGTATAATATTGCACAATCGTTTCAAATTATTCATAGTACTCTAAGAATATAAAACATCAATAAAACAATCACAGATGTATAAATTGAAAACAAATTGATTGTAAATATCATTACAAACTGTTTACTTAGCAAAATATTCTTTGTGTTAACAATTCATTTGCCCAATATATTTTATTTTCGAGTCCCTTTACTTATCGTATGCTAGAAGTATTTGGGTTTACACTAAATTAGTTTTAAAACATTATCGTTAAAAGTCTTATGCTTGCTTACATTTCGAACTTTCCATTTTCCCAATGTTCATCAATTCTGTTCAATAATTTAATATTAAAAATATAAGGAACTCCAATATTGACATGAGTACTATAACATTAATTATTTATTCAACTGTACCATAAATAGTAATATAGGATACGTACTACATAAGTAGTAATATAAGCAGTAATAGATAATAATATAAGAAGTAGTTATATATATATATATATATATATATATATATATATATATATATGTTTTTTATGGTTTTTGATTTGTTGAATTTGTCTATGTCCTGAATAGCAGAATAACTATTAAAAACATTGGAAAATTAATGAAGAAATAAAAGAAAACATTTTCCCATACAAAATATTCATGGCTGTTAAGCGGTACCAAGTTCATCGGATCAGCTAGTATAATAGAAGCAGTAATATATGTAATAATATACGTACGTTAATATAATGATGATGTTACTTTTTATGTATTGACCTGCCTATACTAGGCAGGTATTTGAGCCCAAACATTTCTACCATAACGATAAACAAATTAAGAGATTAATTCACACTTGTACTGATTAGAAAAACAAATTTATTTTCACAAAACGGTGTCACGGTGACAGCGAAACGTAGAGTAATTCAGTACATTTATAACTTAAGTCTAATCGGCTGTGTGGAGGGAAAGAAGAATAGAAGCAGTGCACCAACAAAAGGTATGGACACAACTGGAGCTACCTTGCAAGAATTCATACGCAAAGTATAAAATCGTGCAGTTTACAGAGGGATGATGGCACCAGTTGTACAGATGTTGTACAAAACAGACGTAGGGTTGTAATGACTGTTACACTTCAGTAATGACAAAATGTGTGAAACCGACTATTGTAATATTATGATATCACCTTATTGTACCACATTTTTAGCAATACATTCATTCATTAATTCACTTACTCATTCATTCTATCACTCATTCGTTAATTCACTCACTCATTTATTAATTCGCTCACTTATTCCTTAATTCACTCACTCATTCATTAATTCACTCACTCATTCATTAATTCACTCACTTATTTATTATTCACTCACTGATTCATTAATTTACTCACTCATTCATTATTTCACTCATTCATAAATTCACTCATTCATTAATTATTTCAATCATTCAATCATTAATTCACTCATTCATTTTATAATTCACTTATTCATTCATTCATTCACTCATCCATTCATTCAAGCAACACAAACATAGCCCTCAGCAATGAAGACGAAGATGATGACAAAAGACGAAAATATTTAAGACAAATGATAATTACCACCCCGTAAAGAATATGACACGAAAATATTTCATAACAAGTGTGAATTAAAACATTGACATACGAACTCGCTTCTTGAATTTAGAATTATATTAATCATCCTCACCATCACCTTATCGACCGTTAACTTGATAATATTAAAAATTTTTGGTAATTACAAAAAAAACACAAAATGTCCGGCGATCTGTACAATTAACTGCTATACCCTAAACTATTTGTTTCCCATTGAGGTTTTAATATAGGTTTACACGCGACCCAGCCTTTATTTCAGTAACATTAAAATAACAACAATCCTGCATGAGCTATAATTGTCCACTAAACTTTATAGATCATTTTTTATGTGTATATATACATATATGTAAATAAATATATAATATTTTAAGATATATATAAAACTTCAATATATTTCCTGTAAAAATGTACAATTTATATATTAAAACACTTAATTATTTTGGTTGATTTATCGTGGGCATTTACTTAAAATTCATAAAACAAATAAATTGCAAATATAATCAATAAATTATCATTTGTAAATCAATATTTTATTTTAATTGAATAATCAAAACCTGTCAACTAACCGCTCTACCTAATAATATCAACAGGAGGGAGGAGGGACTATTAAAAATGTGGCCTACCAGTCCCATTGCTAGTATATAATATATTTAGTCTCTTAGTTGATGGTAATAGAATAGTAGCTCCGCCTGCGCTAACGGTATACGCTGGCGGGGCATCAGTGAGGGGTGACAGGTAAGATGAAAAGGCAGATCAGTTAGCCCATCGTGAATACACTTGGTTTCCATGGATGTCCACGTAGAGCTCGATCTGACCGCCTCATTATCATCCATTAAACAAATAATATCAACATCAACAAATATCATTAGTGACAACTATAGCTCAAATCGTGAAAAATAATAATAAGTTGAAATATTAAAAATAAAGCATTACAGAGATGCAAGACAACAATAGCTAATATCAAATAAAACTATATCTAAGCCTAACATATTGTGATTATATACTTTAAAACGTTTAATTATATATTTACAGGTTGTATGCGATAATTTGTAAAAAAAAAATGTACTAAACTAATATAAACCTCTAGTCACTAGCCATATACTTCGCATTATTATCGAAAAAAAAAAATGTAAAGCTACGTACAATATGTTGCAATAACACCTCGACAGACGTGTCAATATCTTGTAAATACAGTCAAACAGTAATAATAAATGATAGCATTAATACACAATATAAAAAATGCATATTTTTTTAACAATAAAACAAACATTTTACTAAGACCATGCTTTGAATTCATTATTGCAATACAACAACAGATTCAAACTATTTGGAACGCACTTTTAAAATTAGAATAGAACATTTAAAAAATAAATTTGTTCTCGAAAATGTTCCGTTTTGTTTTATAAAACCGAATAATGATTATAGCACGACAACATCGGGCGCAGCACATATCCTAGCGAGTCGCTAGTGTAAGTGATCGACAAGGTGAACTGAATAAAAATCATGACGAATGGTGGATTAAAAAATGGAGCCAATTATTTTAAAAGAAATATGAATATTTATAATTTTATTAATGCTTAATATTTAAGATGAAAGAAGTAAAATTTATACTCTTATAAGACAATAATTCAGTGTGATTAAACTTTGTTTTTAAATTTTATTATCTATTGATAGAAAATGAGTGACGAAACAAATAGAAACATTACAATGGTATGCATTATAAGGGCAGATTACCCTTAATAAGTGCAAACTGGAAACTTCAAGGCGTTCATGATATACCTTCATATGAAAACTAATACATATGTTTTCTATACCAAAAAGCCCAATATTAGACCAGTCGTTTAGATATAATTTTAATCTCCAGTACTAGCCTCTTATCTTTCATATGACACTGGATGTAATGGTCGTAAAAGTAACGACCGATTGCCATTAAAAAAAAAAAGAAAGAAAAAGACTAGGTAAAACATAGATATAAATCGTGCACACATCTGTCACACTATGAAAGCGCCACGCACAAAGTTGTCGAGCTATAACGAGTATACCATTCATAACTCCCAGCTTAGACGAGATATTATTGCAATAAAAAAAATAGTACCCAACCTAAATATAAAAAAACTAAGTCCCACATAACGGTATTACTTAAAAATATATATTTATTATATTTATTTATTATAATATATTTATTATAATAATGTGATGTATCAATAAAGCTAGTTTCGAGCGGTACCGCTGCTGTATCATTTCTAAACAATCATTTGATAAATTCACTCACTATAAACATTAGACAATACAGTTATTAGTAATATATTATTTTGCACTAATTATTTGCATAATATATTATTTACAGGGTACAGAGGAATAACACCTGAGTCCTCAGGTATGGCAACGCATGGAGTGTATCATGGACGAAACAGTATACTCTGTTATGTCCATGGTACCGCTCATGTCTATAGGCGACGGTTACCACTTTCCATCAGGTGGGCCGTCAGCTTGTTTGCCACTCTAAGTTGTATAAAAAAAAAATGATTGCAGACTATATATTAAGTTAAATCGTCACCATTATGTATACAACGTTCATATTATTTACTTCTGTCGTTGAGCAGGTATACTTATATTTAAGTATAACTAGCGTATAAAATGCATAACTATAGTAGAAAATGCAAGTTGTTTATATTTCATTGTTCAGTCATTTTATGTTCTAAATTATTTATATAAATATACGTAGTGTATAAAAATGTATTGCAAACATTAACAACGATACAGTATTACAGAACAGTATGTGATAGCAGTGTGCGAGTCCGAATGTTGTTTGTTATTCGAATAATTAGTAATAACGATACAATATTACAGAACAGTATGTCTAAATAGCAGTGTGCGAGTCCGAATGTTGTTTGTTATTCGAATAATTAGTAATAACGATACAATATTACAGAACAGTATGTCTAAATAGCAGTGTGCGAGTCCGAATGTTTTTTGGTATTCGAATAATTAGTAATAACGATACAATATTACAGAACAGTATGTCTAAATAGCAGTGTGCGAGTCCGAATGTTGTTTGTTATTCGAATAATTAGTAATAACGATACAATATTACAGAACAGTATGTCTAAATAGCAGTGCGCGAGTCCAAATGTTTTTTGGTATTCGAATAATTAGTAATAACGATACAATATTACAGAACAGTATGTCTAAATAGCAGTGTGCGAGTCCGAATGTTGTTTGTTATTCGAATAATTAGTAATAACGATACAGTATTACAGAACAGTACGTCTAAATAGCAGTGTGCGAATCCGAATGTTTTTTGGTATTTGAATAATTAGTAATTATTAATTCTATAATTTGAGCACTAAATTAATAATTTACTAATTTTCATATTCGATTGATCGGGTCGACTCGACTACGTTCGTATCGACTCGCACATGAATAACTACTAATGACTGATTTTAGCTATTAGATAGATAGATTAGGGAGTATAGTGAATGAAATTAGTAGTCGAATGATTTTAAAATCATTCGAATAAGTTGTTTAATCGGATAATTAGCAGTCGTATTAGTAAATTCGCACATTGCTTCGTATAAACATTATTAGGAAAACAATAAATTACTCTAACCAAATTATATTGAACTATTTACATTATTTTTATTATACACACACTGCACAGACAATCACCAAAAATATTACTCTTTTTATTTTGTATTTATTTTATTTATTATTTTCACGTACCCTCAAATGGGTTAAAGCTGAAAATCAGTGTTTTGTTCCTTGAACAATGTTACACGCTGAGCTTCGACCTTTTTGTATTGCTGCAGATCACACATAATAACACAATTATAAATCTTATGTTGTTTTATGTATTATCTATTCTTATGTACATGTTGTGTGTGATTAGTAACAAACAAATAAACGATCTATCTATCTATCTATCTAAATAAATTATTTTCAATATGCACTTTTTACTTGTAACTGAAATACACTGAAAAATCAATATACATAATGTTGACTTATTGTACTAGTAGCAAAAAAAATAGTTTTTTTTTAATATTTTTTCTAAACAAAACTTATACGATATAACGATTCTGTAAAGAACATACTAGAAGGAAAAATATAGGGTAAAAGAAGAAGGGAAAGATTGAGGAATAACTCCATGAGGCAGATAAAGGAAACACTAGGTGTCATGTCATATAAGGAGGTCAAAGATATGGCATGGTTGATATGATAGATGGCATGATAGAGCTGGTTGGAAGAAAACCCATGAAATAGTTGTCTGGTCGGTGACCAGAGGAAACTCTTAAATGAAAAGATGGATAGATAGAGGGAGATAGAGAGAGAGAACGAACCATATTTGCAATACACTTTTAACACTATAAATAAATTATACGATAACATTGGTAAATTTCAAATAAATGGCTATAAATATAAAATGTTAATCAATATAAAATAAGGATTTTAAAATTTTAATATAAATATTGTAAAATTCACATGATCGTCATTAAATCATCGTTATATAAGCGTTCAATATGTACATTTCATTAACTGACATGCTACTAATTTGTTCTTACTGATCCAAAGTCATTACCTTGAGATTAAGGTAACATTGTTCCATGTTCAATCATGATAAAAACCATTCCAAATATTGAGCCGGAACATAAGCTGATGCTGCTTCATGACACAAGCTCAGACGGACAAATTCACCACAATATATCATCTAATATTTTATGAAAGCAATCAATTATTACTTTTAATTGTCAAACTTGATATCATTCTGTCAGTTATAATGTATATAAGTAAATATAAATATGGAATAAAAATACACATCGTGGAGTTTATAGGAACCTCAAAATTACGTCAACAACGCACGGAGCAAAGTACAATATGAATACAATATAATATCTAAATACAATATATATTTATATTGTATTTAGCTGCTGACCGTACTAACTCCGTTGCCGCACTCACCTCGAGAGTCGTTGAATATTATGCTATCACACTAGAATTTGTTACTTGACAACTATCTTTGTACGAAGTGTACGAGTTTTAACTTTAACACATCTATTCATACAGTTCAAATTCAAATATCATAAAATAACGAATTTAAAATAAAAATCCGTTTCTTTACATGTTCAATCTAGAACAAAATTCAAACCTTACACATAACATACCTCTGCATGTAATGACTTGCATACTACTTTATTTCTCTATATTAATTATTATTATATCAAAACTCGAAAAAAAAACCTATTTTCTGTAAAGGAAAATAAATTGTCTATTATTATTTTTTTTTACCTTTTTAAAATACACAGACCTTATTTTTCATTCTACTTCCTGCACGGAGGTAAACTTAGCAACTATGTAAGGGCTCCGAAAAACTTGTAGATTCGTCGATCCAGGTGTCAACTAGTATGGCGTCACAGTTATGTGTCGGGCCGCAGGGGGGCCGAGTCGGCTGGGAGGAGGGCGAGCGGGACCGGCGGGGGCGAGTGCGGCGCGCTGGACGCCTCGCCCGGGTTCATGTCGATGCGGCCCGCTTTACTCCACACGAGCATGTCCATAATGAACGCGAGGAACATCAGCCCCGCTGACAGACCTGTTGACAATTTTTTTTAAATTTCAATGAATATGACATTGTTGTCAATTTAGACATAAAATACTTCTAAGTTAGCAGTAAACTAGTAACTTACTAACTAACTTAGATTTTTCTATTAAAATTTCCATGGTAAATAAATAAGAAAGAAAAGGAAAAGACGCCAAACATTCTAGTTAAAAAATCTAAGGCAATAGTTCGTAATGAGCACCAGATCCCTTTTCAGAATGGCGATGGACAAATTAAAATCGCCATGATGATTGCCAATCACGAGTAAGGAGATGGTACCTTAAGAAGGTAAATAAATAATACGTCTAAATATATCATACAACGCCATCTAGTATCAAATTAAGCAGACTATTTCTTTAGCTAAAAAATTGGATTTAATTATGTCTCTCTATTACAGATATAATTTATAAATGCTATAAGCATTTTCGTTCTTAATTTTATTTATTATACCACTTCCTAATACCTTTATAACTTCTATATTTATTGTCTTATCAATTCCGCACTTTTTTAAAGCATAAAAACGTCATTTTATTTATCAAATAATTATGTATAGATACGTCAAGATACATTGTGAGCGTACGTATATAAAAGATTAATAAAAAAACAAGTCAGCTAGTTCAACAATTAGCTGACAAAAAGTTGACCTGTTTTTGAAGCTCAATGCTCTATCTTTTTTTTATACAACTTAGAATGGCGAACAAGCTGACGGCCCACCTGATGGAAAGTTGTAACCGTGGCCTATAGACATGAACAGTAAGTACCATGGACATAACTATTCCGTCCATGATACCCTCCATGCGTTGCCATTCCTGAGCTCTGTACCCTGTAAATTCACTGCCATATCCCACCGTTCATACCGAAATACAGCCATGCACTGCTTCACGGTTGAAACACGAATGGTACAGAGGTACTCAAGCAAACGACTTTTGTATAAAGTTTCCCTCCGGTAAATCTGTATAATGTAAGTGTGTGGGTCGGTGCCGTACCCAGGTAGAAGTGTCGCAGGCTGTCGTTGTCGTAGGATGCGCAGGCGCCGAGCAGACCGCAGGCGGCGTCGCGCAGGCGACACGCCGCATCCACGGCTGCCCCGAACACGATCGGGCACGGCACGTTGCCGAACACGCCGATCGCGAACTGGATCACGCCCATCGCCATCGCCTTGTCTGTCAGACCACCACCACGAAGGTACACGGTATATTACAAATATTCAAATTCAAATGCCAAATATTCATATTAAATTAAGGGAAGGGGGAAGGGACTGTTAGTAATGGGGAGGTTAGTCCCCATCGCTATTAATATACCTTATCAGGTCGACCTCCACGCGGTTCCCCCTGGAAACCATCGTGACTAATTTATCGTTGAATTTGTCACAATGGACTAACTGACTTGACTTTTCATCCTCACCAATCATCTCTCACTGGTGCCCCGCTAGTGTATACCGATAGCGCAGGCGGGGTTACCATTTCATTATCATTCATCAAAAAAAAAAAAACAAGATCCATTCTGTTAGCAACATTAACACAACAAAAACCGGCGTCCTAGGCGGATAGAATCTAAGAGCACCGCTTTTTGCATCTTTTACGAGAGTGAGTCGCCTCGGAACCCCAGCCGTCTGAGTGTCGTTCCAGACTGGTTGAGATAAGACTGAACGGTTGACTGACTGACTGACTGACAGAACGATTGCAATGATTGCGGTGGATGTAACCTACACATTTCGGTCAGCTCGTAAGCCAAGTCGAGATATTTCTCCTACTTCTCGCTTTCGGCTTACACGAGGTTATTTTTATAATTTTTTTTGTTATTTATTTATTATGAGAATTATTAAGTACATTCGTACATTTAAAATCAATATATGAAAGTGAGCCAAATATATATATATATATATATATATATATATATAGGAGTTTCTTTCGCAAAAGAACCAAAATAACCGACATAGCCCGAAGGATAAGCAAATTGAAGTGGCAATGGGCTGGTCACATAGCTCGAAGAACCGACAACCGATGGGGAAAAAAGGTTCTTGAGTGACGACCACATACGGGTAAACGCAGTGTAAAACGACCCCCTACTAGATGGAGTGACGACCAGAAATGCGTTGCAGGGAGTCAGTGGATGCAGGTGGCTCAGGACCGTTCTTTATGACAGTCTATGGGGGAAGCTTATGTCCAGCAGTGGACGGATAATGGCTGAAATGATGATATATAGATATAGTCGGTTACCAAATTTGTCTGTGCATCGTATGATGATGAGGACGGCGCCGACCTCGCCGCTCGCGTGCACGAACATGAGCGCTGCGAAGATTGCGATGAACACGTAGATCTTGCCGCACGGGCCGGCACACTCGCCGCTCACCGCCCACCCGCCGCCGTCACCGTGCAACCACTCCGACCGATTCCAAGCTTCGAACTGTTTCAATCTGAAAAATTAGGAGGGGGAAGGAATTGTTAGTAATGCGGATTATCAGTCCCAATGCTAACAATATACCCTAACAGGTCGACCTCCTCGTGGACCCCCCGGGAAACCATCGTGATGAATTCCAAGCGTATTCATCACGATGGGCTAACTGGCCTGCTTTTTCATCCTCACCAATCATACCTGACTGGTGCCCCGGCAGCGTATACCGTTAACAGCGCAGGCGGGAAAGAAAAAGAAAAAAGAATAGTAACTCACAGAATAAAAAGAATGTATGACATTATGCTGGGGGGAAGGATTAGCAATGAAGTTTGACAGCCCCATTGTCTATTAAGTCGACCTCCACGTGGTTCCCCCTGGCAACCATCATGAACAATTCTTGTTGAAATCGTCACGATTGGCTAACTGACCTGCTTCATCTTCACCTATCATCCTACACTGATGCCCTGCCAGTGTATACCGATAACGCGGGTGGGGTTACCATTCCATTATCATTCATTAAAAAAAATATTATGCTTAATCTACTAACGTATTCGTAGCTTTCTCTCCGGTGCCGGCAGCGTCTATGCACGAACAGTTCGAGTACAGCCACGTGCTGTTGTCCAACTGGTGACTGTCGAGACAGCCCGCTTGGCACGGCGACAGATATGTAAAAGCATCCTGGAAAATAAAAAGGGCACTGTGAGACCAAAAACACGCAGACTTATGGCTGACATGGAAGATTGTAGAACTTCTGGTAGTAACAGTGATGGTCCAACTTCAAGTGTTGGCAGTCACACACATACTAAAGGTAGCGGAAATAAACAAAATAATTCTAAATAAATAACTAGTGATATGAACTTCAGCAATATCAGACACGTAGTTCAGAAAAATATAAAAAAGAATCGGTCGTATGGTCCCAGCATAGAATAGGCCAGCTCCTTTCTTATGGTGTTGTAAAAGGCGACTAAAGGATTTTAATAGTCGAGGAATGGGCAGCAGCGTCCCTTTTAAAACATTACCAAATCCTAACTGCAGTTGCCAAGTTTGGCAACTACTAACAAATCCCCCAAAGAGTCAAACTGTCCAATGCTGAAAAAGGGCCTATGTTCAGCAGTGAACAGTTGACAGCAGATATCATAAATTTGTTAAGTGGAAAGTTCTACATCATCATCATCATTTCAGCCATTATCCGTCCACTGCTGGACATAAGCCTCTCCCACAGACTGCCATAAAGTACGGCCCTGAGCCACCTGCATCCACTGTCTCCCTGCAATGCATTTCAGGTCGTCACTCCATCTAATGGGGGATCGTCCTACACTGCGTTTACCCGTACGTAGTTTAGGGATGCGAACGATACATCGATTTTTTCAAACATCGATATATCGTTCATAAAAATCGATGTTTTAATATTCGATGTTGAAACTCTAAACATCGACAATACATCATTGTTTATAAGCGATGTTTTATAAACGATTTTTAATCACAGCGTCATTTTCCGTCCTGCCCGTGATTTACATCTATAGACATAAACAGATACTTACTAAATAAAAGAATAAAGACAAGTTAATCTGATACATAACAGTTCTTGAACGGAGGGAAAGGGATTGTTAGTAATGGGGACTGAGAATCCCATTGCTAGTAATTTACCCACCCAACCAGGTCGACCTCCTCGCGGTTCTCTCTGGAAACTATCATGGTTAATTCCTGAAGAATTCATCATGATAGGCTAACTGGCCTGTTTTCATTCTCATCTATCACCCTTCACTGGTGCTCCGCAAGCGTATACCGTTAGCGCAGGCGGGGTTACCATACCATTTTCACCCATCAAAAAAAAAACGGTTCTTGAACAAAAGATCTTTTGAAAGAACGTTGTTCAAGAACGTTTTACATACCTGTCCACAGATAGGATTAAAGGCAACATTCTCGCAGTTACAATTAACGCTACAGCTGAGATTGCCATTTATAGCACCGTTGTCTAGCAACCGGAAATTCTCTTCTGGGCAACTGACGAACATGAGCAGGACCATACCTGAAAGGTATAAAAACTCTTCTGTACAAACTAGTATCTACTAAAAGGAATATCGTGTTGTATTAATATATAACTATATAATATAAGTAGGTAGATATTATATTTATTTATGTATTTTTTTATACAACTTAGAATGACAAAGAAGCTGACCACACATCTGATGGAAAGTGGTAACCGTCGCCTATAGACATCAGCAGTACCTTGGACATAAAAGAGTATACTGTTTCGCCCACGATACCCCCCCCCCCCCCCCCCATGCGTTGCCATTCCTGAGGACTCAGGTGTTATTCCTCTGTACCCTGTAAATTCACTACCATATCCCACCCTTCAAATCGAAACACAGCCATGCAAACACAACTGCTTCACGATAGAAACACGAATAGGGCAGAGGTGCCCAAGGAAACGACTTTTGTACCCTCTCTCTGATATTAATGTAATGTAATATATATTAATATTTCATTTAGCTGTTTATTTGTATATTTGTTTATGTATTGATTAGTGTTAATAGTTATTCAAAGAATATTCGAAGTAAACACTGCTGACCGATGACGAATAAACTCGTCATTGCACTAGCGTGTAGGTACGTCCTCCTACCACGAAAGGGGGGAAAAGGATTGTTAGCAATGGAGTTTGACAGCCCCATTGCTAGCAATATGCCTTATTAGGTCGACCTCCACGTGGTTCCCCCTGGAGACCATCGTGAACAATTTTTGTTGAATTCGTCACGATGGGCTAACTGACCTACTTCATCCTCACCTATCATCCTTCACTGGTGCCCCGCCGGTGAATACCGATAGCGCGGGTGGGGTTACCATTCCATTATCACCCATTAAAAAAAAAGCCTACCACGAAAAGCAAGACCATTTGAATTGCAATGCGTTCACGATCAAAAAATTACTTTTCTTTGCATTTAGGTGTTTATCACAATTTTAGTTTAATCCAAAAGATTTCAACCCTGACGGAATTCCCGTTGTAGCAAAGTGTTAATAGTTCTTCGTGTACTTTAGCTGCCCGTTAACAACATGCTTTCCAGGGGGAAAAGGGGATTGTTAGTAATGGAGACTGAGAATCCCACTGCTAGCAATATACCCAACCAGGTCGACCCCCTCGCGTTTCCCCCTGGAACCTATCATGGTTAATTCCTGATGAATTCATCATGATGGGCTAACTGGCCTGTTTTCATTCTCATCTATCACCCTTCACTGGTGCTCCGCCAGCATATCCCATTAGCGCAGGCGGAGTTACCGTTACCATACCATTTTCACCCATAAAAAAAAACATGCTTTCCAACTGTATTGGGTTGGCTGGAAGAAATCTCTGTCAGAGATAAGTCCACCCTTGCTCACAATATTTAAAAATGCATTAACAATGTAATTTACAATATAACTTGAAGTATCAGGCAGTAAACCATAACGTACCAGCACTATAGATAGCAGCAGTGGCTGCAGTCCACGCAGCAACCTGTCTAGCCGTCGGGACCACCTTGACGATGACCACTCCGGCCGTGATGATGCCTACACCCATTAACAGGATACCACCCAGGCCTGGAACGGACAATTTATAATAAATAACAACGGGTCTACTATGAAATGAAATTCCGAAATTTCGGACTCAATATCGTGTTTTTATTTATACCAAAGAGTTTAAAATTTCGTTTGTCATACATCCTATCATAAAAGTCCAAAGGAACAACATTTTAACATTTTTAATATTTACAAACGGCATGTCTTACGTAATTTTAACATCAAATTTGTGTTTCGTTTGCCTCCGAAATTTCGGAAAACATTTCATGGTAGGCCCTACCTATTTGCTTAAAAGTAGTAAAAGTTTTACAGCGATTTCGTCACAAGATTTTACCAAATAGACGCAACCACACGTAAGACGAGGATACCAAGTTGATTAATAAAATGGATAAGCCAGTATTGCCAGTTTTCGTCAATACATTTATGGAACACAATTTGTGTGGAGCTACGCATATTGGTAAAAAGAAACTACAAAAATAAGACTCGATATTCTAGAAAATTTTCAAATATTTATTTATATTACATATACAAATAGTTGCTCTATTTGCGAGATTTCTGCTTCATTATACCCATTATAAAAACTTTTTCATTATCATCTATAAAAATACTATTACCGGGATTTCATTTCAAAACTTCCTATAAATTATATTTTTAAAGCATAAAAACTTCAATAAATATTATTCTTTTATATCATCACAACACAGAGAATTAGTCCTCAGCGGCTCGATGACATTAGCCAAACCGTGGCGCGTGAAACTGTACAAGCTTAGATTATATAGATAGAGTGTCTCCATACATTTTTTTCGAAAAAAACGGATCAACTATTTTACACAATTTTCCGTCATAAATAGTTATGTATATATGTATTTCATTGTCTTATAAATTCTGCATATTTTTAATGCGTAAATATTAAATTTATTTATTAAATAATACGTCAAAATACATTGTGTACGTAAGTATACAAAACATTAACAAAAAAAACTAGCTGACTAATTTGACAATTAGCTGACAAAAAGTTGACCCGTTTTTGAGACTCGATGCTCTATCTATACAATGTAAGCGTACAAGTAATGTTCATCGTAGTACCTCACCCGAGACAAGGTTGGCGTCGTGCGTGGGCAGCCGAAACTGCTTCTCCAGATACTTAGGTAGGAAGCTGTAAACCCCGCTTATGGGCATCAGGTGCAGCACCGAGCTCGCCGTGCGCCACATAAGGATGTCGTTGGTCAGCTGACGTTTTATTGTTACGAAGAAATCTGCACACAGCCAAAAAGGAAATTATTAGGAAACATCTTTAATCCTGAACAATATTATAGATGTGAAACTGAGTTCGTTTGTTGCATCTTAGGGCCTCGACTACTTAACTAATCACTATGAATTTGGTATGCATATACTGTATACAATGAAGAAGGACATACCTAGGCTAATTTCTATCCCGGTCAATGAACATAATATCCCGATTACATTGACGAAGTGACGGGTAAAAGCTAGTAATTTAATTAAATGTAATTATACCTATTTATAATCCTTTTTAGATTTCATAATTTTATTTAAAAACGGGAAACGAAAAGCCTTAGATCGTGTTAAGTGAAGTGCTTTGGTAGAGTCCATACCCAACAGTGGAACCCTGCAACAGGCAGGAGAACTGATATTATGACGATTAAAAACAATTATATATACTTAATTATATTACTTTTTACAGCAAAAACATTACACATCATATTTTTTTATGATATGGTATGGTAAATCTGCCATAGCCTGTCAACGTTGCGGTGTGTTCCGTCCACATTTGTCCGCCACGTGTGAATTATTATCTTATCAACATCGCGTTAGATATTTGAGGAGTTAACGTATTCGACCTTGGCCTTACAATGATAACAATATACAAATCGCCCACTCGGACACGCGTATGTATTTTGCATTCAAATTGGCACACTTACCTCCGACGCAGGCAAAGATCGATGCTGCCAGTGCGTAAGCGCAAAGACGTTTAAATTTCGAATCGTTTCACACGTTTTTAAGTGGTAGTGGGAAGGAGGGTTAAAAAAATATTTGAATAACCTGTTGATGAAACCATACTAGTCTATGTATATATTATTATATAGTAGTCTATATATATATATACATATATATATTGCCATGCCACCCCTTCCTTTCCCGGGGTGTCGTAAGAGACGACTACCTTAACTATCGAGGATTTGATAACTGTGACATATATAAAATGTTATATAAAAAAAATTCAAAAACTCCAATAAATTCATCATCATATCAGCCATTACATGTCCACTGTTGAACATAAGCCTCCCCATAAAGCCATAAAGAATGGTCCTGAGCCACCTGCATCCACGCACTCCCCGCAATGCATTCAAAGCTGAATGCACCGTAATAGTATGGAAGACTCAAAATCTTGTGTCGTTTTTCACCTATATTTTTTTTTATAACACAGGCAAACAAACCCACAATACAAGAGAAATTAAAGATGTGCTGCCGGCTTTTAAAAAAAAAAGAATATAATATGTTCTTTTCTTGAAAGTTACGACCTAATTTCTTTGATGAAAATATTCAGTTTTTACTAGAACTAGTACTTTTTACTAAAACATCATCATCCTCTTCTTCCTACCCTTATTCCAATCATTTGGGGTCGGCGTAATATGATTTTATCCATATTACAAAAAGATTTGGTTTTTAGTTTTACGACCGGCCACCTGCCTGACGTCAACCCTCTTTTACTAAAAGAACATTACTCTAAAAGGTCGCTGACGTTGTATTTTTCAGCCTGTATATGAAGAATGGAATAGGTATTCACCTTTGAAGAAAGGCTCCTGTTTTTCTTTGCCTTTCTTGGTCGGTGGTGGCACTGACTCCTGCTTGATCTGCCGTGGGAAACAGAACATCAGGGACGACAGCAAAACAATGAAAGTAGCGATGAACACCATACCTGTAACAAACAACATTTGCTTTAATTAGATTTTTTTATAGATGAAAAGATGTAATCGTCGCCTATATATGAACAGTACCATGGACATAACAGAGTATACTATTGCGCCCAAGATACCTCCCATGTGTTGCCATTCTTAAAAACTCAGGTGTTCCTCTGTACACTCCTCTGTACATTCTTTTGTACACTGTAAATTCTGTTATGTTTATTCAATCGGTTTGAGTTACGACACATTTTGCTTAAAGGCAAATGTTTTTTATTGCGCCGTGTGGTCCCGGTGTAAAATAAACCACCCCCTTTCTTCCCCGTGGATATCGCAAGAAACAACTAACAGAGCTTCAAGGTCGAGGGATGAGTAGCAGCGTCTCTCTTTAAACATCACCTAAGACTAAATCGAGTTGAAAAAAAAATCGCCTACGAATTTATAAATTAAATTGACCTTCAACAAAAGATTAACACATTCGTCTCTTAATTTTCAAATTAATAATATTATATTTCCAATAGATATGCAAATAAATTATAAGCTACACGTTATCTTTAATCAAACTCATAGAAACTTTGCGAGACTCCCGTGAATAAATTATGTGGCGAAAATAATTACATTTTCGACAATTTATAACAATACGGAAAATAGGGGGAAAGGGATTGTTAGTAATGGAGACTGAGAATCCCATTGCTAGCAATATACCCAACCAGGTCGACCTCTTCGCGGTTCCCCCTGGAAACTATCATGGTTAATTCCTGATGAATTCATCATGATGGGCTAACTGGCCTGTTTTCATTCTCATCGATCACCCTTCACTGGTGCTCCGCCAGCGTATCCCGTTAGCACAGACGAGGTTACCATTCCATTTCCACCCATCAAAAAAAAATACGGATAATATGACAAACATCAATACCACTCAACAATATCATTTCTTTTGTTGCTTCCTGCCTAATAAAGCTGGTCGTTCTACCGGACGCTATATGCCTTGAATATTACAATTATCAACAACGGTTATATTATCTCAAATATTTCTATATCAATTTACATAGAAACTATAATACTAAACACAAACACAATCCATTTTAATGTGCCAAAACCGTAAAATAATAATTCCATAAACAGAGGCATTATCCTCTGGCAAAAAATTGCAAATCCGTTAGCAACGCAAAAAAGCTCTAACTATGAAACTAAACAGACAGCGAATGTAGGAGCGAGTGATGCGTTATTTACACAAGCTATCAACACGATCGCATATATGAAATGTTCTAATTATATAAATTATCGAGACAGAAGTGAGAAACGTAGCAAAAGGCGTACTAATCCGTTTGAACTTCTCATCAGGGCAAGAGCTAAGACTTCACGCTCGGAGCGGCGCCACTAAGCGAGACGAATTGCATGAAACATTAATTTGAACAAGTACGTGGCTAGGGACACGTGATGTTTTTGTGAATATATCGTTACATATTAAAATTTTATAAATCCAATCTTCGCTGACTATTAAAATAGATTAACTAATTTAAGTAGATTGGCAACGCAACGACCTTTACGATACGCAACCAGATAAACATGCAAAGATCCGAAAATGAAGGATCAAATTACTATGTAGAAACATAATTACACGCGAGATAACCCAGTCATAATTTGTTTGATATTAACTCGTGGATACTGATGTTATTTATTTATTATACGTAATTTCATGTAAATAAGCAAAAATATACACAGTTTCTAGAGCTCATAGTGTTGTTTGGCTTTAAAGTTGTATAAACCACAATATTACTTTATCACACTGTGTTGTCATTTTGTTAGGTAGGTATTTTGCCTTTTAGATCAACAATCGAGAATGCTTGATTTGTTATTTATATATAAGGATTATTGGGTATTTTTTTTACCACGAAGATAGCAAACAAGCATACAGTTCGTCTAATGATACAAGGTCACTATAGCCTATGGACGCATATGAACACTAGGAGTGTCACGTACGCGTTATCGACCCTAAAGAAACCTTTTTACACTCTTTTTGAAGTCTGCTGTATAATATACTGTACTGTCCAATGCTGTAGTCTCTATAAAAAAAGGGAGCTCATGCTATAGCCTAAACCTATAATTCAAGTTCCAGGACAAGTAAGAGACAGTTATAACATTTGACTTTCTGTTTATTTCGCTCGAAAACTAGTAATTCACTCTTCTTTTAAACCGTGATATACTTGATTAACTATGTTGTTTTATTAAAATTTTATACTTTATCATGGCATAACTCACTTATCACATGATAAGATGTTTAACATTTGATTACACTCGAGTAGATATTTTTACAAACTGATGACATTGCATAATGTTTACCTATTGTAAAACATATTGACAACGTGAATGCTGTTTCAATAACATTAGTGGCAGTACATACAAACTACACATTGAAAACCTACGGAATCTTGGTGCGTAACATATTAATTCCATTAGACCCAAGAACAGAAAACGTTTGCGGAGCAACAAGGTCGGCCGGTCGGCGCTAAGTCAAGGGCGTTCACTAACGAGACAGTACTGGAGTACGATTTAAAATTGTTTACATTAGCGACTGCCGGTATCTAGTATTGAAACACGTGACGTAACAAGTCCTTTATGCAATGTATCCCGGGTGGCGAGCTTGACATTTGTATCATAGAGACGCAAGGTCAACGGGGAACCGGTTTAAAAGTAAAAGTGAGCAAGACAGCGCGGTCTCGTGTCCACCCACTAAATCCTCATTACGGACAGCGACGGCATAATTGTCGACAACAAGGCGCGCAGCCTTGGCCGTGACCGGCCGATAGAGTGCTTATTTTAGTTGTGGTGACGCGCCGTGATGTAAGTGTTATGTAACGTGCGCGTGCGCCGACGCCGACGCAGCGTGACGCCGAGAAAAAAGCGAAAGCCGAATGGAAACTGCAACGCGAGCGTCCGGCGACCGACGAGAGAGGCGTGGCTATAGCCGGCTGTTACCAATAGAAATAGTAAACGTCTTAGATATCAAAGTTTACTACGAAACATTGAATATCATATAACAATCAAATACTGTAAGCATTCCAGTTATTTCTTCCTTTTCATTAAAGAAAATGTTATAATAATTTAAATGGTTATATGAGTGAAAAAATTTGCTTCCTTAAATATATGTGCTTTATCAACTACGAATTACCAATGAGTATTTATCATCTATACTAAAATCTTTTAAACAAACTTTATATAATCTCAATAATGTATATGCCATTATCTAAATATTGTTAATCGTAACCCTGCCTTCATCTCTTCAACACGATCCCTTATGCACTCTTACACTACGTTAGATAGTTCGCATTAGATACCTAAGGCAAAACGATATATACGTCACTCATTGGTATAATATAATATACTGAATTTTCTAATCAATAGATTGCTATCAAATCAAACACGTAAATCGTGTTTGATAATCAAAGTATAATCTCTTAGCATCGCAAATGTCGTAGAATCATACATATCAAATTACAAAATGGCCCAATTAAATTAAACGTACATAATCAATGCAATTGGATTTTCATTGAAATCCTTTAGATTAAAATAATCACTTTATCACACACAAAAAAAATGTTATGCTTTGATAGTGGTCTTGGACTCTATTACGATAAACTTCCTATATCATGAATAACAAGCCTCGGATCATACAATGTCATGGTTTTATAAATGAATTTTTATTTTTGAAAAATAACAATTCAATTTAAATACGATTTCTATTTACGAGAATTTAACTACGTAACACCCAAGTGGTGATTCGAATAAATATTCAGTAGATTCGTACGCAAACTACACAAATATTTACATTATGTTTTTACAATAGAGAAAATATGCAAAACACCGTAGCTCTCATGGAAATTAATGATAATTGCTCACAAAAACACTACATTGTGGATGAAGTTAATATGTTTTTATAACAAAATTATGGATCAGACAAAAACAATGGTCATATTAGATTACAAATGAAAGCAAATACTAAATTATATGTAATTCTTGTTAGGTATTCAGACAAATAAAGACCAAATCCGAAACCAAATTAATAAGATTAATAAAACGGCGACAATGTAAATTTTGTAATAGCAGATAAAAATACCGACAGAATGTCCATTAAACAACTTATTAAGATTCAGAACTTCATTCATGAACTTATGGCAGTTGAACAATAAGGAAATACGCAGAAACCATTCAATGAGCATTTGCGAATTCGCTTTATTGCGAGTCGGGGCACGCTTGTAGCAGTTTTCTACTGCAACAACACCAAGGTACATTTTGACTTTGCAAATCCGATGCCAGTGAAGTTTGGCCTTTATTTGTAGGTATTGGTGAAATGTGATTAGTTTTACAGAGATGGATTTACACCGGTAGCAATACGCACGCGTTGTTTAGTACGTATGTCACGCGCGTGCTTTCTTCGTGGATTTTGTTCGCAAATCTACACTAGTGCGTCGGTAACGGTAGATGTCGATACCGCGATGGAATGCAAGGACTCCGGTTCTAGCGCTACTCACGAGACATTTCTGTAACTAAATATACATGTGTATGACTAATTGTTTATTATTTATGTACCAATTTGTTCCCAACAAATCCCTTAATACAAATTGACGAATATATCTCCTTTTAAAAAAAAGGTATTTTAAAAACAACCGGATAACAAATTGAAACGTTACTTATTTATTGAAAGAGCTTCTATAGGCGTTATTCTTCTATAGGCTTCTATAGGTGTTATTACTATTTAAATAAATATGATTTGAATTGAAATTGAGTTAAATTCGACAAACAAACCCTTTTTTTTTTCTTTTACTCCTCTAAAATGTTTGTAATTTTTTTTTAAAACATGCTTAGAGATTTTCATCATGCAGAGATCACAGACACGATATGGTCCATCAATACGACCAACCGAAAAGAAAAGGTTCCACTCTTAACAGTTGGCCGTACTACTCCGGCTCATGAAGTATTTTTTCACGCTACCTTTGATGGAATTGAGGTTATAGGACGAAGGAAATAAGTGAATTAATTGGCAAAAGCTTTCTAAGATCATATAATAAGCTCTAGATGCTTTACTGCACTGGCGGCTATTTTTATTATGATTACGAGTATCTATTCCAATACGATTAACAATATATTTATTTGTTGTGATAATAATTAAGCAAGAGTATAAGATATTTGACATAATCTTATTTTAAAAATAAGAAAACTTGGAATTACTGAAAAACCTGCATTTGCAAAAAAAGCTCTTTTAAAAACTGCTTTTTAACGTAAACTACTCCAAATCCACTTAAATGGTACTATCTACCTCATTTTCTGTTCTAATTCACGTTCTCTTACTACGCTCTTTATTGAAGTCTTTTTCTAGATTTAAAAGTTATAAATAAAATACGCAAAACAGTAAGTAAAGTTTTGTTTTGACAAGGATCTTTAACATAAATTATTCTAATACGGTACAATTAAACAACAAGACTCAAACAAGTAGCTACTTATATGCATAACAGATTTCCTTTGAGGCCAACAGCAGATGCATAATGTGCGTGGTTACATCAATAAATTAATGTTTATTTCGTGTATAAATCATCTCTAGCTAGTTATTTATTCAATGCGTATTACTACCAACTTGTATTTGCTCCCGACTTCGTTCATAATACATTATAATTTTTGCAGTGGCGACTGTTACTGCATATATGTTTAACTATATGTTAACCTATCTAATTAATGACCCACTACTAGGCATAAATCTTTTAATAACAGTCTATTACTATAGACTCTGATTTCATTTCGTGTCTTCCTTCATTTGCATTAGGTTCTGTTCCTTTTGTCGCGTCTTATGAGTAGATGTAAAAAAAGTTTATAAAAAGCCTGAAACCTTTTCCAATGGCATGTTATTATCCAGTACTGTCGGAATTTCAAAATAAAAACAACTCGTGAAAAAAGGAATATTTACTTCCTTTGTCTTTCTTTTAGACTGTACGAAAATGACATCATAAATAAAATAATAATACTTAAGAATTTTATTTTTACGACGATACAAAAAACGATATATTGCCGTGTCACGAAAGAAATGGATAAGACAGAGAGTTCCATCAGTCTCTAACAATAATAATGAATTTAAGATTTTATTAACAGACAATAAATTACACAAACCAATTAAAGACAGATAAAAAAGAAGAAGACAATGATTTAATAATTCTAAAGCAAAAATTCCAAAATTACCGAAAACATTCTTAGATTCATAAACTTGTTCGAAAATATTTCATGTATGATTAAATCCGGTTGCATTTTTATTAGTAAAGATATATCGCGTGGATAATCTGATAGGCAAAATAATTAATGTATTAGCAATAACGATGTACATAATTATCGATGCTAGACAAGTTCTGACTATGTATATTTTCATGTTAGCTCCTTTACGGGAAGATAGATCCAAGTGCCAACGGCCTCTATCCTTACATAATGTTTTTTGCTTCAACCACTTTCATAGTTCATCTCATGCATGACGGGTTTAAGCGGGAATCCATATAGGGCCGATGCGCACTAACCGAAGAGCATGGCAAAGTATTCTTACCATCTTTTTCATATTTTCAAGAAAATTTTATGAATAGGAAGATAATTTTAAATATCTACTAAAAAATAAACTGAAACTGATGTAATAACGCACAAGTGACTAGAATATTTAACAACATTGAAACACGGAACCCTACAATAAATATAGCTCAATATGCTCGTAGTCAGTTTGCGTTACAAATTTCGGACTAAACGTTTTCTCACCACGCCCAGGCTCCGAGTACTTGTACTGGGTGCGACCATATAAAAACAAGGTATGTGATAAGCCTTAAATTCCGCCAATCATGCAACCACAATCTTCAATTTATATACCGAGTATTTCTTCACAAATCGCAACACCGTAATACTCGTGTATTACTGAAATGATATAGCTCGACTGAGAAGCCTTGCGCTTGTAATACATTCTCTACATATTTAGTTAAATCAGGTGTTATTTTATATAATTTTATAACTCACCCAACCACCAAGCGCCGACCCATCTTGGATTGTTGGACTCGTAGCCAGGGTCCGACAGTGGATTCACGTACACACTTGTGCACAACGCTCCAAGAAGAAATCCTAAAGCTGGTCCAATAACTCTGATGCCTATGGTAATCGCTGTGGAAGAAGAAAACATTTCATTATTAAATAAACTTTGGAACTATAACATTAAAATTAAAACATACAGTAATACTAAAACATGTATGTATTATATTCACTGCTGGCAACAATGACTAATAAACTGAATGTACACCTTAGAATATGATATCTTAAAACAATATGAATATTAAAGATTTATTATGACATCGCTCATGTTTTGTTACTCCCGAGGACTAAGATGTACACACAAAAAATTCTAAAGTGTAATTACACAATGAAAACAAATTATGTAAGCACAACCAGATTACATTTACATAAAAATAGATACACTTTATTATTAATAATTAAAATATTATTTTAAATACTATATATTAAATAATAAATGCCAATGGGGCAGATATGGATTCACCAGCTACAATTTACCAAGTACAATTTAATTTACCACTATCAAAAATCAAGAAGATTCTACGCTAAATTGTGTTCGTGTACGCTTAATGTGTTACGCTCTTATCCTTAAAACCAACACAATACCTACATATATAACATGGTCCATACTGAACTTGGAAAAAAGAGAGAATTAAGAGAAAACAACAACAGCCGTATTGTACTGCCATAAACATAATCTTTTCATGAACATCAAATTTCTCCACTGCTATTCTGATGTAAGGCTCATATGGCAATTAAACTGTATGACAACCACACGCATATATCCAATTGTCTAACCATCAGCTGCAAGTGACTGTAATTAGTTGTTCTATTGCACATGCACGCAACATTTACACGAAATCTTATACCTTCAAAAATTCAAGGAAAACATTCAGGAGAAATAATTTTTGAACGGCTAATCATGTTGTAAATATTAATGGACGTAATCATTGAGGCGGAGATGGTCATTATGCAAATTGAGATGGACTCTCGTACACTGAATAAACCGCAGTCGTTTATCTCAATAGGAATAGGGCTCAAAGGGTAATTGAGGGTCATTGAACCAAAGACGACAAATTATCGTATAAGGGACTGCAATCTGCAACCGCTACTATACCCGTACTTGATACTGAACAACAAAAAACTAATGACGTACACCGCTATTATAGAAATAGGTCTTGAGATTACTCAAGAAATTACAATTCCACGAACTGCAAATGATCTGGCTTTGTCTATAAACCAAAGATCTCACAGACTAAAAGCGAAAAACTGCAATAACTGAAAATCCAAGATGGGAATTATTACTAGAAATTCAGAAAGCATATTCTAAAATAATAAAATAACAAAGATCTTTTAGGTGAATGACCAAAAAACAATCAGGTATAATACTTAGGTCCCAAATGTAATACTTCCCAGAAATCAACCGCATCGCTTGCCAAAAAACGAACAACGCGTTCTGATCGCGTGTGTACAATGGAAAATAAAATACATGTTCCTATTATCATCATGCGCTTTTGTAATAAATAATAACCACGTCTGTACTGCGTTTTTGAAAACAGCCATCGGTCGCGACTCTGTAGGTACAAGTTTTTATTATGTCCAGCCACACTCGTCTTTACCGGTTCTGATACATCATTAACATTGTTTTCAAGTGCTGCTCCATCGAATTAACTCTCAATGATTGTCAAAAAATGAGGAATTGCGTCATTAAAATCTCTCGATATTCGAAATTTCTTCAGAGATCATACACCTGGGTGCACGAGGATAACTTAATTTTTTTTTACGAAGCACACTTATTAATTATAAATAATAACATAATCATTTCATAACACATATTATAGCTTATGAAATAACAATACTAATACTACTAGAATACAGCAGCTGAAAAAATTATAAATATTTCATAAATACGAGTATGAGTCATAATATTAATTTCGATACCAATTTATACTAATTTTACACTTTAAGTAATTAGCTGAAATTTTTTGTTGTCTTCCTTTTACCCCATTTCCTTTATTTCTATTACCCTCAGTTTCAAATTCCGTGCCTTCTTTCAAATTTCACCTTTCACTCAGTATACCAATTGTTTTCTTTTCTCTCGTTTAATTAATGCTAGAGTAATTAGTACATAATATTACTCATGTAATCTGCCAGAAGGATTAAGGTGTATAACCTTAATCCTCAGCCAAGCTGGCCCACGCATGAGGATTCAAGAGACGACACAGTATACACTGTGTCCATAGTATTTTCAGATCTATAATTGACGATTGTTGCTTTGCTTCAATTAAATTACTATTCACTATAGCAGTAGCTATAAATATACATAAATTCACATCCGCATCACATTCTCACATCATACCAATCGATTATTCTTAGGGTGACTAGCATTGGTGCTATTATTACTTTAAATTTCCATACATTAATAGTTGTTTTGTAATGTGACATTTAAAAGGTAGGCAAAATAGAAAACCTGTTTTTAAACAACAACCAAGATAAAAAAAATAGGTGAATTTAAATTTGAAGCCATAATAAAAACAGAAACGTAGATATTACAATTCATAAATATAGTCTACACATGTTTAAAAATACCAACAAATAGATATGAAAGGCATCAGGGCTGGTGGAGATAACCTTGTTACGTCCGCCGCAATAAATAAGGTCACCCACAGAACAGTCACTACTTCTATAATATTAAAATCCTACAAGTATTACATATATGAAGCTCTGTGAAGATGTTTCGGTACTTACTCAATTATACATATATACTCATAACAGCTGAACTGATTTAGCTGGACCCAAATAAGCCACAACTTAGATTAAAACAGAAAAACAAGCGAAGACCTCATGAGGACAAAATTACAGGCAAGGCTTGAAGTACATGCCTAAATGAAGTAACATTTTCGACTCAACTCAACATACATTGCATTAACGATGCACCTAACGGTTCTCTTGCTTGAATAAAAAATACTTGTAAATTACCAATTACCAAAGAGCATTCGTTCATCAAGCAAAAAAACGATTAAGCTCGATTACCTGTGCATGCCATTGTATACCAAGTAACTTTTATAAAGAGACGATCCTTTAAAAAATTAACAAGCCCAAATTTTACTGGTGAAATTAATACAGGACCACACAGGGTTTTCCGTTGAAATGCCAATAATGATACGAGTATATGCTAGAAATTATCCCATTTCAATTGCTGCATTCGAGCTTTTGCGTAATATCCTTTTACCCCAGTCTGCTATATTATCTGCAGTAAATATTATAAATACTTTTATTTACTAGTGAATTATTTAAAATACAACAAAACATATTGATAATATTACATCACAACATCAAACCAAACATGGTAGCTTTTATTGTAATAACAACCAGCAAGTCATTAAGAAACCACAATATCGGAAAACACAAAACGATTTCAGTTCGGCGGTCATTACACTCGTTGCAAAATTGTTTTTGGAAGAATGACTAACACCTTTTCATGAACTATGAATAGATAGTCTTGCTTCTACGAATAAACACACATCTGTTTAAACATGTATAGCTTTGTTATATGTTTTCAAATGCGAACTTACATTGTTGTGTTTTTAAAACACTAACGGCAATATTTTATAGACCAATGCAGAAGAGAGGCTACCAGAACAGAAATCTTCAAATTATTTTTTGAAACTACTGTCATTGGCGAACAAACTGATAAATCATTTAAAAAAAATATAACCGTAACCTATATAATAAACACAAACAACAGTATAGACATGGACTACAAAAGTAATACAAAATCCATTAAACAAACAAACAAATTTGTGGAAATATTATTAATAATAAAGATATTATTTATTTTATGGGAAAAAACTAAAGAAACCAACATTATATAACTATGTTATACATATTTAAAAGTTGAAAGTGAAAATAGTGTCTCGAACACTATCGCATGTATGATTGTAAAAGAAATTGCATACAATGGTTGTTTATCTAATCTGACATTCGTAATCTAATCTCGTATAGTGTTGCAAACTGACCTATGTCAACCACGAACGATTACGACGTAATTTGATAGCTCGCAAAAATATTGCATAAGTGCAGTACAGTATATGTAGACCGAGACTCTATAGAAAGAGAACATCTGGTTTCCTTAGACTGTTACAAATATCAATATACATTACACCAATCAAGTCAGGATCGGTAACACAAAACTTTGATTTTATGATATATCCTCTGTAACTCACGACTAAAGAGATAAAAAGTGTTGTATTGTTTCAAATATTATTAAAATCCATACAGATGTTTAAGCCATGATTGAGTAACATTCAAACACCTTTACAAACTTTCATTTAAAAGTAAGACTATCATCCTACACACATTCATGTGAATATATCAGAGTAAATTTGAAAGTAGTACCAGCGATAGAAAAGTTAATAAGCAATCGTTTATTTTAGTATGGGCATGTAGAGGTGAAGGAAATATTTTAAGGAAACTATTGAATATGAATGTAGACGGTCGTAAAGGTAAAGAAACACCTAAATAGAAATTGATGGATTGTATAAGAGAATAAAGACAAAAAGAGAGTAAAAACACCGAAACAGAAAATAAAATCCTTTCGTTTCGTCAGAGCACTGAAATAATTGTCTACCTACTCCAAATAATAAATAATTAGGACAACAAAATGATAATGACTGTTAAAGAAAATAAATGGTTTTAAAGACGACGTCTCTAATAATTATCTGTACTTGAATTACTTGAACAATTTTCTTATATGATGTATACGATTATCTTTACAAATACTTTAACCTTATATTAACTAAGCCGTGTTGTCCCGGTATAGAATAGGTCACCCCTTCATTACTCATGAGTGCCATAAGAGGTGACTAAGGAAACTTTATGGTCGAGGAATGAGCAGCAGCGTCCCTCTTAAAACATCAACAAAAACCTAACTGCAGTTACCAACTCACCTGCCAAGCATGGCAACAACTGGCAGATCCTCTAGGGAGGCCTATATTCAGCAGTGAACAGTTAACGGCTCATATAATAAATATTAACTAAACTCATCTCATGTTCAATACAGGTTAAATTACTCAAATAATTTAGAGCTAAAG